TTAATTACTCGTTAACTATTACGAAAATTGCAAAATGGTACAGGACTTTTTCGTTCATCTCGATCCGTTCTACCTTCTGAAAAATTTTGTCGGATATGGAAAGACTCACCCTGTATTATATCCGCAGTTCTTTGTGACAACTGACCGTCGCGGCTTCGAACATCAAAGAACAAGCGCTATCCGATTCGCCTTTGTCTCGGGTCGATGACCCGAACTTTATCGGAAGATACATCACTGGTGACTTAAAGCATATCCCTCTATTATATTTACTTATCGGAAGACTTGAGCGCTTGATCAAAGGCCCGAAGCGCGCTTGGTTTTTTCCAGAAGCCTCGCTCGGCAAGGCTTTGTAGTGGGCCCACTATATTTTCGTCGCAACAATGTCACAAAATGATATACATGCAACTTAATGAATATGAATATAAGGAGCATTTAATAACATCTCATAGCTATATACCATAACCATTAATATAATGTATTTTATATTTGAGAATTTCATATATATGATTTTTATATATGTATACATAATATTTATTTGAGTCTTGTAAATAAAACCACAGACCATATATGTATACTATTAAACTGCTCGACGCCATCTGCTTTATTTCCAGGTATGTTATTAAATGCTCTTTATATTCATATACACTAACAAAGTTGTATGTATAACAAATTTCTATAGTTACTGGACTGTTCACTAAAATTATTTCGTACGTGATAGAGGCAGACACAAGTATAACCGTGCCACTTCTAACAGCAGTATTCATGATCGGATCTTGTATTCGAGATCGTCTTAAATACGACCTCAACGCTCCGTACAGTTACTTCATTAGATGGATGAAATCTTAAGATCATGCCCAGACTGGACATGATGTAAGATCGTCTTGAATACATGATCAGTGAAGTCAGTAATATCAGTAAGGTCGGTAGTATAAAATTAATTGAATGTTCTTTACCGTATGGAAAAAGTAGAATCGTGTCCAATGTTTTACTCACGTGGAAGGTGTATACCTTATCTATTGCATCAGGAAGAGTGGTCGACTAACTTGGTTACCCTACCACGTGCGTCACGTTATTCTTTAACATCCATGTTAGTCGTTGTGACTGACTGCATGTGGGCAATCGCAACCCAAGGAGAAATAACTCGTCGATAGATGTGATCTCGAATCGACATTGAAGCAGTAAAGTCGACGATAAATCGACATCATTTCTATGTCGATCGATGAGTCATTTTTCGCTGCACCTGTAGCACAATGCTTTGACCAAATATTGGTTAAACGTTGACCAGAAATTCAATAGTATTGGGTTAATCTTTAGTAAATGCACTGTGCTACTGGGGTGAGTATATTATCAAACGGAACATTCCTGTTGACTAGTAGAAAGACACAAGATCTGAGATGTTCTCTTCGTCGTACAGTTTGCTGACAACGGGTAGAGAAATAGGTAGAGAAAACGTAGGAAAAAAATAGATAAAACAAGAAAATAATTACACTTTTATATGTCCTTTCAAAAAACGATTGTTTTCCCCAGTGAGAAATGATACATCGGATCAATGTCGCTTGATGTCGAGTTTATCAGATCGTATCGACCGATATATGTATACTCGAAAAATTCCTATTAGATTCACATGTTTAAATTTACACAAGCGATAATCCAGCATTGGCGCTTAAATTTCTTTAATCGCTGAAACTAGAACTCTTCCTTAACGGGAAAATACCCAGTCAGAAATGACTCGTCGTTCGACATCGAAACGACGCCATATCGACATCGAAACCGTCATATTGACGTCGATTCGACGTCGTTTTGACATCGATCTACGAGTCATGTCTGACTGGGTATGGCAGACGATGGATCGAACCGAGGACTTTACTATTTCTAATCGCTCGTGCTCGTTCAGAGCTACACACCATTCCAACCAATCATAGGTAAAGTTTCTCATGGCGTGACCACATACAGCATCATCTTAAGAGATCACTAGAGTGAGCGTAGCGCAGTAGGTAAGGCGCATTGAGCTGTAAATATCTGAATCGTCACTTAAAGCCTGGTTACAAGTTTTTTAATTTTCTTATATTGTTATAAATATATGAATATAAAATATCTAAAGAAAATGCCAATTTTAAGAATGTCATTAAATTGATTATAAATTTAATTAAAGTAAATTATTTCGGCATCAGTTAAATATTGTGTTTCAAGGCTGAAAGTTGTCGGCACACAGTTGCTTTGTTTAAAAAAGATAGATGCACGCAATGTATACGTAAAAATAAACTTAGACTAAGATATTAAGTATATAAGATCCAGCATGATTGTAAACAGCGTCTCTATTATTTTTACGTTAATCGCATAAAGTGGTCGAGTTTCTTATTACTAATAAAGTACATAGGCGTGCGCGGACTATTTTATTTGATGGTGCCATGGTGCCGTAGGGCGATTCCAATTTCCAAAAATTTAAACAAATAAAATGAAACAGGAAAAGTCGACATCGGTAAAATTTTAACTACACATACTTTACTTCTTCGCGAAAAGAAAAACGATTACATACTATATAGTAAATAAAAATATTAAAATGTTCCAATAGAAATAAAATGCAAAGAAATAGAACATGCAAATAACATATCTCCATTAGTCCATTCACTAACAAACTGACAGTATATTTAAAGTTCAAATTGACGCTTCCTTGCCTAGAGAGACTTTAACTCGTCTCTGACTTCGCTGGATAGACGAAAATAAAATTTTTATGTTTCTGGAAAAATGAAAAACCTGCTTTTGGGGGATGGTATTTGGTGGTGTCAAATGGTGCGGTATCATCCGTGTTTTTTTTAAATTTAATTGGAATTTGATATTATTCATTGTAATTTGCGACACAATTCAATTTAATTCAAGAATAAACATGATTTTATTACATTCTTTTGTTTCAGGAAAGTAATGCATCCGCATCGCAGGCATATGAAATACTGCAGAATGATCAAGTTGGCAGGTCAGAGAAAAGGAAGAGTACAACTGATAAATTGTTCAAACCTAAGTTACAATTCAATTTGATACTTCCAGATACATGGTTGCGAGCAGAGAACTACAGGCTGCTGAAGAAATTGTCACAGAGATGCCGTTCGTCATCGGACCTAAGGCGTGCACTTATCCCTTGTGTCTCTCGTGCTATACACCTTGGCCCCTTGAACCGGATAACAAATCACTATGTTCTAAATGCGGATGGCCCGTCTGTGACCAGGACTGTGAGAATGCTTTGCAACATAAAGATTACGAGTGCCAGGTGTGTAAGACTGTAATTGAAGTACTGCCTTAGAAAAATATGGCTATAAATAGACATTTCTAGTAAATGAAGATGATGAGAAGCTTTAGAGACTGCCATACGCAATCTTCAGTCTTTAAATTCATGCAAAGCCATCAATAGCAACGGGCTTCCCTTAACTGCGAATGTTTATTCTCAATACTGTGTGTTTTACATGTTTAAAGATCTATTTTCTTCAATAGGTGTTTACACAGGCGAACGAGAAGTTTAACGTAGACACCACACTAGATGGTAACAGCGAAAACGGTGTTCCGCAATTAGAATGCATAACGCCGTTGAGACTATTGTTGGAGTCGGAGAGAAACGTTGCAAGGTGGAACAAGGAGGTAAAGAATATGGAGGCGCATAATAAGATAAGATGTCAGAAACCGCAATGGAAGTCGGATCAAGTCAATATCGTGGACTATCTGAGAAAACGGCTCAAACTTGATAGGTACATATTTGCAGTTCTTTGCTAACGTCCCATTAAACACCAACTGAAAGTACACATATTTGTTTTCACATTTATATTGTTGATATTGTTGAATGAGAAATTATAATATTGATGTTACGTAACTGTCAGTTACATAGATTAACGCATGTTGTACGTGACAATTACATTGTTGAGTAGAAAATAATATCGATGTTATGTGACTGTTAGTGGGCGTTTAGTCGCATATTCCTGATATATTGATATGGAATTGTTGTTCTTCAAAATGAATATTAAACAGATTCTCGGAGGAGTACATACAAACGGCATGCGGTATTCTGGAGATAAATACGTTTGAAGTGCGGACACTAAAAGGATTCGGTGCACGTGGCATCTATCCGATAACTGCTATGATGAATCACTCGTGCGTCTCCAACACGTCTCACAGCATATCGCCAGTGGATTACAAGTATATTAATCAGTAACCGTTGCTTGAGCTAAAACAAAACGAAAACACAATTTTTGTAATGTGACAAAAGGTCTGAGCGGTATCTTAAGTAGCAACGATTCTCATCTATTTACTTTAGTTGCTACACGCTCACGTACATACGTACAATCTTGCCTCAAGTAAGTCAAGCGTAACGCACGATCCCCAGAAAGTCTCGCGCGGTTTATTATGCTGATGAAGATACGCCTCGTATGAGATACTATGTGCGAGTAGTAATTATGTACACGGTTCTCGCGCGTTTTTCCACAGGTTGCGACTGCGTACCACAGTTAAAATTCCTGCAGGCGGTGAACTCAACGCGAGTTACACGCACTCGTTATTGCCGACGATGCTACGGAGAGAGCATTTGCTCGAAGGCAAACACTTTGCGTGTGCTTGCCCCCGATGTTCAGATCCTACGGAACTGGGCACTCACATGTCCTCACTGAAATGCAACAAGTGCGACAACGGAATCATTTTGCCGCTGGATTCTTTGGGTACCAATGTCATATCTATTAATGGTTTTTTTTAGTAATTATTTTCTTCAAGTTGTATGCGACGTTAATTGGGCAGAAATTAAGAATTGAAACAGATATGCTCAGTTTAGTTTTAAACATTGCAATCGTGCAACAATGATTCTTACATTTATTTATGTAGAAAGCAAAATGTAGGAATCAACATAAAGTTCTTTCAGTTTCAGGAATTAAAATTTCCACGTCTCGGACTAATTAAAGTCCTAATTACAAAATCATTTTCTATTTCGTCCTTCTTTCCTTCTCCAAATATTTGGATTTTGCCGTAATCACTTCTAACTCTTTACACTTTTTATTAAATACTTTACATCTCTTATTTTCCTTCCTCTAACTGCCTTTGCACGCCTCTTCCCGTGCTCATTAATTCCTCTTTTATAAATTAAGAATACATAAAAGCAGTGATTACATCTACGTAATCAACGATATTTTTTTAGACTCGGAAAGTACATGGAAGTGTACGCACTGCGAATTTTCTACCAATGGTCAGGCAGTACGAAAAATTCTCCGAATCATTCAAGCGGAAGTAGATACCGTTGAAGCTATCAGTGGAGCCGACGGAGCCGATGCAATTCACCAAAGAGAAATTGTAATGAAAAAGTACCGATCAGTTTTGCATCCCCGTCATGCCTTTCTCTCCATGTTAAGGTATGGGAACACAATTGCCAGATAATAAACATCTCTAGTAGGTAATGACATAGAATTAATTAAATTCAATTCAATCAAAAAAAACAAAATCAATTTGACCGAGCTTAAGCTTCGACACCGTTTTTCTAAATTCACAATTGTCTGAAAATATATTCAATAATATATTAACGAATAATTATGTGCATTCTGGCGTGCACTTTTCATAGCATATTATTAAAAATTTTTAATTGTGGGATATCATATTTCTTAGGCACTCGTTGACTCAAATGTACGGTCGGGTTAATGAGTATCTGTTGGATGATTTGCCGATTATTGTATTGGAGCATAAAGTCGATATGTGCCGTTTATTACTTCAAGTACTGGATGTTGTAGAACCTGGGTACAGTCGTGTAAGAGGTATATGCTTCTTAAACGCGTTTCCAATTAGAGGAAATACATTTAAATAACTTTATTGCTTTACCTTTTTGACAGGTATGACGTTATACGAATTACACGCACCGTTACTATTTTTGGCGAAAGATCAGTGGAATGCCGGTGTCATTGACGAAGCGGGACTGAAATCCAAAATGATAGAAGCGGCAAATATTTTAAAAGAGGCGGCTACAATATTAAGCTTAGAGCCATTGGAGACGCCCGAGGGACAAATAGGACTCGTCGCAAAGGAGTCTATAGTTCAACTGGAACAATCCATAAATGATTTATAAAAATCTGTCTGTTGTAAAACCTCGTTATTTGAACAAATTTATTCTATTAATAACATTATATTTTTTTCCATAATTACCAGCTTACTATTTTTCAGAGAATAGACACTTTGTTAGAAGATTATCCCAATCGTTACATACTAATCATTTCTCATTATTGTCCTTAAAGCAGAAATTGTTAGCGGCCTGCAAAAGGGAAATAACATATCTCTATCCTTAGAAAAAGATTGTACAAAAAGATGCTAGAAACTTGTAAGGAAGTCTGTAATGTTTTCAACATAATACAGCCGGACATATCGCACTTAGGTATATGATTGTTTATTTAAATTTAGTTATCCTGCATAAAATATTCTGATAACATAAATTATAAATTTTTGGAAGAAATAACATTTTCACGTTATAAAATTTTATAAAGATATTTTTATACGATTATAACAAATACTTATATCAATTTAAAAAATAAAAATTCTTAAAATTTACAGAGATAATAGGTAGAAATGGATAAACATTTAATATTTATGAACAATACGCATTTTGCACCTTATATTTTCAAAGATTTTCGCTAAAAATAAAACCAAATCTGTTACTTTTCACGGATTACTTTAACCACTAAATGTTGACACAGCGTTAAAAAATATTTTACGAGATGCTCTACATTTCTACAACATATCCGCAGCCTATTAACATCGGTGAAAGTCAGTTCCGACCGTGAGTGAATGAGTGAGAGAAAATAACGGAGTCTATCAGCAGCCACTACGTCAGTCGCGCTCCCCTTTAAATATAATTCAGTTATATACAGAACGACACATGTGGATATTCTTTCTTCAACAGATAAACTAAGTTTAAGTCATTGCACATAACATAGATTTTTTCCAATTTAGGACACTGCCTGAGAATTGCCGATATGTTCTGAGGTAATGGTCGCAAGTGTGCTTGTTTTAAGTTTTTACAAAGCGTCAGTTCTTCGCCCGAACTGCCATAGAGACCGCTCAAATTGACTTCTTCCAAGCGTTGACAGGCGGAAAACAATTTACGCAAGCTACGCCTATTGATTAACCCATTGTTCCTGTAACAAAAGCCATGCTACTACTACGGTTTTTCAATCAAAAAGAGAAAAACAACATAGCTGTTTCGTGATGCTTGCAAGAGACGTAAAGATACAAATTGTCATAAAGAATGTGTACGATAATATGCGTTTTCAAAGAAAGTGTGGCACACGTACATCTTCTGAATGTGCAGTTTCCGTAAGTCTTTACACTCGGCGAGAGCATCAATACCTTGCGATGTAATTAAACCGCCAGATATATCTAGTATTTCCAAGTCTGGGCACGATTCTTTTAATTGTATTGCAATTGAGTCTAGACACAACCTGTTGCGTTCATCTACAAAGGGATACCTCGGTGATGCAGAGTCTCCAAATGGATTGTCTTTCGGCAAGTTGTTCAAATTTAAGTCGCGTATCCGACGATTTCTTCGCAGTATTTTGCAAATAGATGCAACTGTTATACGTGTACATTTAAGGTTTAACACCTCTAAAAATTCTAAATTTTCAAGATATGAAAATGCATCTCCGTGGTAATAACAACAGCTGAGATCCAATACTAAAAAAAAACATATGTATAGAAATTAGTCATATGCAATTCACCCATAGTCTTAATAATCATATTTATTTTTGTACCTCTCAAGTTCTTGCACATATTCGCAATTTCAAGTAACGCACAGCTATCAACAAATCTGCAGTTACTTAATCGCAAGTGTGTTAAACGCCCATCGCAACTTTCAAGAAATTTTTTAAAATGCAAAAAAGAAACATTGCTTGATGTAAGATCCAACTGTCGTAAATGTTCACATCTGGATATAAAGTATAATATAATATCATCAATATACATAGAATGCATATTGCGCATATTTATTAAATTCAAGCACTTGAAGAGAGAACCATCTCGTGTTAAGTTATTCAGATGTTTATTCATTGTGCTCATCCGGCACAACGATCTTATATCTAACTTCTTTAATATTTTTAGTATCACTTCATCCTGCAAACATAAAATATAAAATTTTAATACATGAGACAACTTTAATAATAGACAATAAACGTTACTATGAAAAATGGACTTCTTCTAATACTTTACAGGTAGCATAGAAAAACTGCAACGTTTGTGCTCCTCGGATTTATCCAAAGAGAGTTTGATATCTTTTTTAATCTGTGTACAATTCGACTGCAAATCGCTGTGACCATTAAAATAAATTTTCATTATTAAAAAAATAAAGAAATTAAATATTACTTAATTAACGTTAATGCTTATAATACCTCTTATAAATAGTACAATATTTAGAAAAATTCTTTCGAAGAGACATTATATCACAATGTGCTCGTTCATGATCAACTGTTAAATTATCGACGGTCTGGTAGTCCATCATTCTTAATATATTAGTTAAACTCTGTTCAGAATTTTTCGGACGGATCAATTTTGATGTACCGATAAGCATCACACCTTCTAGATATGTATGATAATCCCGTAAACAGTACAAAAATTTTAATCTAAGCTTTTTGGTTTTAAAGTCACAAGACTGCAAAGGTGGGGAAAATAGCCGTGCCGCACATGAAGGAAAAAGCTGACGTTGACCAGTCCATAATACAATCCATCGATTATCTTGAGAATCTTGAGCCCAAATTTGAATTACATACCCAGGATTATGTAATTCATATACAGATACCCTTATTGGATATACAGCTTCATCGAACTCAAGATCTTCAAAATAGAAAATTTATTTACAATCTCTTCTGAACATAAGCGTATTTTTTTAGTTTGAATAATATCTTATTTATTAAGTCATACGCACCAATGTAATTGTAAAATATATTCCTGTCATCTTGTAATTTATCACATGGGGATAATATGTGCACTTGTTTCTGCCATGTTGTTGAAATTTCGAAACCACTAGATGCCTACATTAAAACAGTTAAAAAAAGTGTCGAATATTACAAGATCTTGCAAACGTAAAGTTAGATTGCGATTCTTTTCTACAAGACAATAACAAATAATATCAGAAAATGCATGTACCATAACAAATGATTTCGAAAATTTATTATTATTTTGATTTGTGGTAGGATTTCCAATTAAATTCTTAGAAGTATCTTTTAAAATTAGTTTGTTAGAGCTATTCTTTCTGATATACTCCGTATCTTTGCTACTGCTGTCCCTCGCAAATTGGTAGAAAAAATCAACATTATCCTCTTCCACCATTACTCTGTCAACAGAAGGACATCGGTCTTTGATCTTCTCCTAGAAAGAAGAAGAGATTGTCATACTGACTCTTTGAAGAAAGATGAAGGACATGAAGTGTAATAATTTATCTATTACAATTATACTGCAAAGATTATTTAATTGTAAATTAATTTAGGTTGCTTCTATGTTGTCATTACTGACAATTAGAGGTAATTAGATTTTGTCCATCAGGGTACGTCATACAAATGCTATTTATTAGCCGAACAGCGCGTCTAATAGGATCATACTTAAAAGTTTTAATAATTTACGAAATTATGTAATATTATATAAACTAAATTTGCATGCGCAAACTTTCCCGTAAATTTTCCGATTGTATATTATACATATAAGTAAACAGTAAATATTTTAATTCTTTGCTTCACAAATCAATTATTTAACTAATATTTTCATATTACATATAAGTAAACAGTAAATATTTTAATTCTTTGCTTCACAAATCAATTATTTAACTAATATTTTCACTTACTCTTTCGCATTTCTTCCATTTCTTCCATAAAGGTGTCCATAAAGATTGGCACATATTAAATGAAACCAGGAAGATGTCAATCGTTAATTCTAAGTTGACTCAATGTTCTTAAGAGTTTACGATTAACGAGTGTCACGGCAAAGAGCAATCTATACATACAAGTAGCATAATCTGACTGATTTGAATGTATACAGAGATATAATGAAATACAATTTTGCAATAAAATACAGATTAATTTATTGTATGTTAAGAAAGTGTTACTTATTCCAGTTGTTATAAATATTTTGATAATGTAAATATTTAATAAAAAGATCAAACACAATATCTGCCGGAGATAAAATTGTAGCACTAAATGTGTGAAATCTTATATGAAAATGTTATTTTAATAGTGGTACTGCTCCGTTTTCATCAATTTCAAAAGAATATCGGTTCTTAAAGTTATAATAAATAAAGAAAAAAAATCAAGATTGTGGTGTTATGCTAATCGTGGAAGAAGTTTTAGTACCAGACTCAAGCGAAGTTGTATCTCTATTAAAATAACTTTACGTAAGATTTTCGTATATACGATTCTTATATAATTTTTATATGTATAAGACTCTTGTAGATAGAACCACAGACTTCTATTACTAGTAGACTGCTCGCTTCGCCATCATTTTTACTTCAGGGGATGTCATTGAATGTTTTTTATATTTCTACAATAAATCACATACACATAGCATAAACATTTACATATTACTAGACTGATCACTATAAATATTTCGTACGATAGAGAAAGACAGAGATAAAAATGAGCCGCTACTAATGATAGTATTCATAATCCAATCTTATATTCAAGAGCATTTTAAATTCAATCTCAAGACTCGACTGTATGGTCATTTAACTAATTGACTGAAATTTGAAAGCCACGGCCAGACTTAAGATGATATCAGATCGTTTCGAATATAAAATCGATAACCTCTGTAATATAAGATCGATTGAATGTTTTTTACCGCGCGGCAAAAATAAGATCGGCGGAAATTATATATCTATTGCCTTATGCAGAATTCACACTGGATACGAAATCTGACGTACGACGTCCGATATGCAATATGATTGTGCGTGTGTGCGTACACGCGCGCGTGTAATCCATCTATAGATTGTAATATATCTTTGGATGGTATTATATTATATAACTTTATTTTAAGCTCATTGTTTCAAATTGGATTTCAAGTAATTTTAAGATTTTCAATCTCCAGTCAACAGACAGAGTTATTGTACAACATATTAATTGAAATGATCTTAAGACAGCAGCATATAATGCAATTTTTCGTACTAACTCGTATGCAATCTAGTAAATTGTTGGAAATGCAGCATGTAATACGCAATAGTTGTAATTTAACTTATATATCCCGTGCAAGTTTGCACGAAAAATCGTATTGTTGGTTTAAATTAGTTTTAGATCAGTTAAGAAATACTACCATATGACTCTAACGAGCATCTGTTCCAATACTAATGGATTTTTCACATACAACGCTGAAACACGTATATCACGACACATGACAAACGCAGTTTGACATCAGACAAGATTCAATATTCATTTGATATATATTTTCTTGCATTATAACTTAATCAGAAAATAAATATTTACCTTGTGCGTGTTGCAATTACTACGTTTATATAACCCACCTTAATTGAAACATAAAAAGTCTTCGTCGGCAAACAATATGTATTATACACAATGCGACTTCACAGATGACATATAAAAATGGTGCGATAACGTATCAAAATGATAAGAGGGAAGATTTTTAGATAACTTCGTTCAAGTTTTGGTTAAAGAAACTGCCGAACACTGTCAGTGTTACCAACAGTATTTCTACCAACAAGATTTCTCTTCTCCCCTCCTTCTCTTTTTCATTCTAATACAAAATGTATTTTTATTTAGCAACTCCGTTGACTAAATTAATTAATAATTAAATTGAGCGGAATTTGATCGAAGCAATCCTTAACGGGAATGTTTTCCAGTAAAAAGTACACAATTTTACGGGATTTGTTATCTAATATATTTTTAAATCTCCAAATGTTTTCTTTATAGACCACTTAATATCTAGTCCATACCTAGTCAATCCACAGACTCTCTTTATTCATGGATATGTTACGATGTTCGCTGCCAGTAACTTGAATATCAAGTAGTACATAGCCAATTTGCACTATGATATTCCTAATCAGCGCATCAAAATACGTAGAAATAGTGAGTTTTGATAAAATCGGGGGTAGTACTTTTCGAAACTTTATCCTAAAACAATTTATTAATTTTGAGAAATTATTTCAACTTTCAAATGTGCAGATAAACTGAAAAACAACAAAATTATTTTGATGCGCTTGCAGTCTACAAAATATCCAAGGCCTACCAACATCGGTGAAGGACAGTTCCGACCGTTCCGTTATTGTACTTTACACAAAGACACATGTGGTAATTTTTGCTTCATCCAGTGAACTAATTCACCGTCACCTTTCATAAACCAAATCTTTTGCAATTTTGGACACTGGACGACAATTGCAAACATGTTTCGAGATAACGTTCTCAAATATACTTGTTTTAAGTTTGTACCCAGCGTTAGTGATACGCTGAAATCATCATCGAGATACATCAAATAAATATCTTCCAAGTCTTGACAGGAGGAAAACAATCTACGCACCCTCTTTTCAATTCGTCCATTGTTTCTGTAATAAAAGCCATGCTACTACTACGGTTTCACAATCACAAAAAGAAAAACAACATAGTTGTTTCGTGATGCTTGCAAAAAATGTAAAGATACAAATTTTCATAAAAAATGTGTATGATAATATGTATTTTAAGAGAAAATATGGCATACACACGTACATCTCCTGAATGTTCAGGTTCCATAAGTTTTTACACTCGGCGAGAGCATCAATACCTTGCGATGTAATTAAACCGCTAGATATATCTAGTATTTCCAAGTCTGGGCAAGAATTTTTCAACGTTATTGCAATTGCGTCTAGATATAATTTGTTGCGTTGTTTCTCTCCATGGCGAAACACTTGCATTGTAGAATCAACTGGACAATAATTCGTCACATTGCTCAAATTTAAGTCACGTATCCGATGATTTTTTCGCAGTATTTTGCAAATAGATTCGGCTCTTATACGTGTACATTTAAGGTTTAACTCCTCTAAACATTCTAAATTTTCGAGACATGAAAATCCATCTCCATAGTATTGGCAATAACTGAGATCCAATACTAAAATATATATGAGTTAGTCATATAATATTTTCCCATAATCTTAATAATCATGCTTATTTACATACCTTTCAAATTATTGCATGTCGCAATTCGTAATAAAACCAATTCGTCAACAAATTTGCATTTACTTAATCGTAAGTGCGTTAAACGGTCATCGCAACTTTCAAGAAACTTTGCGAAATGCGAAAAAGAAATATCACTCGATGTAAGATCCAACTGTCGTAAATGTTTACATCTGGATATAAAGTATAATATAATCTCATCAATATACATAGAATGCATATCGCGCATATTTATTAAATTCAAGCACTTAAAAAGAGAAGCATCTCGTGCTAAATTTTGAAAGCGTTTATCTATTGTGCTCATCCGGCACAACGATCTTATATCTAACTTCTTTAATATTTTTAGTATCACTTCAACCTGCAAATATAAAATAAAAAATGTTAATACATGAGATAACATTAATAATATTATTATACTAAAAAAATAGATTTTTTGAAATATTTTACAGGGAGCCTAGAAAAACTGCAACTTGTGTGCTCCTCGGATTCCTCAGAAGTAAGTTTAATATCTTTCGTAATCTGTGCATAATTCAGATGCAAATCGCTGCGACTGTAAAAATAAATTTTCATTATTAAGACAATAGAAAAATGAAATATTATTTAATTAACGTTAATGTTTATAATACCTTTTATAAATAGTACAATATTTAGAAAAATTCTTTTGAAGACAATTTATATCCCAGCATATACAATTATAAGCAGCTGGTGCTTTATCGATAGTCTGACAAGAGTTTATACTTTTAAACATATCAGTCAAACTCTGTTCTGAATTTTTGGGAAGGATTAATTTTGATGTACCGATAAGTATCACACTGTCTACACATGTGTAATAATCCCATACAGTGCACATTAGCATTATTCGTAACTTTTTGGTTTTAAAGTTGCAAGACTGGAGAGGCGGGGAAAAGTGCACTTGCTCACAAGATACAATATTACGTTGTCTAGTCCATAATACATCCCATCGATTATCTTCGGAATTTTGAGTCAAAAGTTTAGTTATACATCCACCACTATACCATTCATGTATACAGACTCTAATTGGATATACAGCTTCCTCAAACTCGAGATCTTTAAAAGTGAAAAACTTAATTGCAATCTCTTCTCAATACAAACATATCTTTTTTAACAGTATCTTATTTATTAATTCAAATGACACATACCAATATGATTGTAAAAAACGTTACTGTCATCTTTCAATTCACCATAACATTTTTTACCTAAGCCTATCATACGTCTTTCTTTCTCCCATGATGTTGAGATTTCAAACCCTCCAGATTTCTGTGATAAAAATGTTAATCAGGTGTCGTATATTACAAAATCCTGCAGTATAGAGTTAGATTTCGATTATTTTCTACAATACAATACCAAATAATATCAGAAAATGTATATACCATAGTAAGTAATATTCGAACATCATGCATATCTTGATTTTTGGTAGATTTTCCGATTAAGTTCTTAGAAGTATCTGTTACAATTTCTTTGCTGGAACTGGTGTTTTCTATATACTCCTTATATCTGACATTGCTGAGCTTCCCAAATTGGTATTTAAAATCTACATGATCATTTCCTACATGTACTCTGTTAACACATGGATATCGGCTTTCGTGCTCCCCATAAATAGGGCAATTAGATCCCATATTCTCTGTCTGAAAGAAAATGAAAGAAATGGGTTGTAATAATGTTTCAGTTTTTTTACTAGTTTGTATATATTAAAAAACTATTACTTATTCCAATTATTTTAAATATTTCATATTGTAAATATTTAATACAAACTTTAAATACAATATCTGTCCGAGACAAATCTGTGGCAGGCAATATATGTATAGAACATACACGAAGGTGTTATTTTAATAGTAGCACAGCCGCATTTTTATCACTTTCAAGATACTGGTACTTAGAGTAAAATAAAGGAGAAAAATTCAGAGTTATGGTCTTATGCTGACCATAGAAGAAGTTGAAGGGATATTAGACTCAAAGTAAAAAGAATAGTCTTGTATATCTGAAAGACTGATTAATTAATGTCACAAGAAGTTGAGTTGTATCCTTTAAATATTATATTAGAATAACGTATTTTTGTGTGAGAATTTCGTATATATGTTTCTTATATGATTTTTGTAAGTACATGTAGTATGTTATATGATTTTTGTAAGTACTCTTGTAGATAGAACCACAGACTTCTATTACTATTAGCCTGCCCTTTTCGAGATTCTTTTTGCTTCTAGGGATGTCATTCAATGTTTTTTATATTCATAAACAATAAATCGCATACACATAGCATGAATGTTTATATATTCTTAAACTGTTCACTATAAATATTTTGCATGTGATAGAGAGAAACAAAAATAGAACTGTGCCGCCACTAAGAGCAGTATACATAGTCGAATCTTATATTCAAGATCGTCTCAAAAACGATATGAAGACTCAGAGCAATCATTTCATTAGATGGATGAAATCTTATGGCAATAAAATTTCAGATGAAATAATATCGTCTTGAATATATGTATGGTCGGTAGGATCGATAATATAATAGTATATTGTGATACATGTGCGGAAAATTGGCTATTGGCCACTCGTGCGGATGGGCGCACTCGCCTTCGGTTCGTGCGCCCACCCGCTACTCGTGGCCAATAGCCAATCTCCCGCACATGTATCACATACTATTTTATATTATAAGTGCACGGAAAAGTACCTCTTTTTTGACAGTTACGTGTAAAAACTTTGAGGCTGTCATCTGTCGAAGACGGCGTGTGGAAGAGAGATCGGCAATTGTGCTGGGAGATAAACAAAAACAGCGCTAAAGTAATAATTATTACCGCACGGCATTTTCCGCACAGTTGACGCCATGTTGCGTGCAAACTGTACTGTGTCGGCAAATGTCTATTTTGGGCACGAAAAACTGTCAAAAAAGAGGCACTTTTCCGTGCACGTGTGATATAAAATTGATTGAATGTTCTTTAACGTGCGGCAAAAGTAGGATCGAGTTCAATATTTTACTCACAGCGAAAGTATCTCTATTGCATCAGAAAAAGTGGTTGACTGGTTACCCTACCATGCAAGTCACGTTATTCTTTGACACCCATGTTAGCCATTGTGACTGACTGCGTGTGAGCAATCGAATCCCAAAGAAAAATGACTCGTCGATAGGTATGGTGTCGAATGAATCGATGTGGAAACAGTAAAATCGATGGTGAAACGACATCATTTCGATATCAATCGACTAGTCATTTTTCGCTGCCACAGTAAGACAATGCATTGATCAAACATTGGTTAAACATGGACGGAATATTTAATTGTATTCGGTCAATATTTAGTCAATGTACTATGCTACTACCCAGTGAGAAATGATTCGTCGATCGATGTCCAAACGACGTCAAATCGACGTCTACTCGACGGTGTCGATGTCGATTCGACGTCGTTTCGATGTCGATCGACGAATCATTTCTCACTGGGTAGGGTGGGTACATGGTCAAACGGAACATTCCTCTTGACAAGCAGAAAGACACGACAACTGAGACGTTCTATTTGTCACACAGTTGGCTGACAACGGGTAGAGACATAGGTAGAGTAAACGAAAGAAAGAAGAATAGACAAAGAACGAGAAATCCGCTTTTATATATCTTCTTTAAAAAAAACAAACGTTCTCTCCAGTGTTAAATGATACATCGGATCGATGTGAATTTGATGTCAATTCTATCATATCGTATCGATACGGCTCTGTCGATAGTCAAATGTCGATAATTTCACACGTTTCGCGATTATTTCGGTGTAGTGAGAACTTTGCAAATAATATTTGTTGATAGCTGCAGCAACATAATATAATATAATATATCTTCTTTTCCCCTCCCACACAAATTGCATAATGGGATAAGGAAATATCTTATTCACTATTGTTGTCTCTTCCTAATGTTCTCTTTACATCTCTAATAAAAACATACAAATAATTTGTGTGTGTGTGTGTGTGTGTGTGTGTTGTATATAATTATTATGATTTATTTATCACACTTTTGTGATTAAGAATGTATGAAAATATCTCAAGACTCGGTATGGTAATTTTACTAGGTGGATGAAATCTTAACACCATGACCAGACTTGAATATAAAATCGGTAAAATATTATAGATAGTATAAAATCGTTTGAATGTTATTTACCACGAAGTAATATGAGTTTATTCAATATTTCACTCACCGCGGAAGTTATTATCTACTATATATATATTGTTTCAGGAAAATTCGATTGATTGGCTACGCTACCGTGTAAGCCACGCGTTATACCCTAGCATTGCTGCATCCGTGTTAGTCGTTGTGAATGTAAGACGATACATACTATATTATTAAAACTGAGCAACTTCTATGTTGTAGTAAATAAAAAGAATAATATAATGCAACTACTGCGCGGCATAGGCAGCACGACATAATCATGTTTTTCCACAAGTTATCTCGTGGAAAATAAAATACTATACACACATGGGTAGATTTAGCATTCAACATATTTTAATTTTTGTTCCTTAAAAAATTCTTACACTTTCCAGAGATAGTGGGTGGGCGTGTGTAAACTAAAAAAATTATGTGAACAAAAAATATGGGTTGTAAAAAGTTGTATATCTAAGTTATATATCATTGTTGTAAAAAGTACAACAATTTATAAAACAACATGTCAAATTTTAATCGATTTCAGCTGGCCACATTTATTGAACAGGCTTTCGCAACGTTTCGACCTTTGGTTTAGATAATTTTCAAGTGAGATCTAGGAGTAAATGTTTTACATATAATCTACGTGAGAAGTATAAACGAATTATACAGTATCGCAAAAAGATTGTCGGTCTACCTTATTACGGAGTTTGTCAAAGAGATTACAGCCACAATTTGGCGAACATTGTTCAGAAATAAGAGCCATTTGCCTAACTAAATATTAAAAAACTTTTGTTTAAAACAATTTTACAACTTATATTGGGTCTGTGCATAAGTCCGTGCCGAAATTCAAGTATATTTCAAACGCAAAATCTGACACTTATGCACAGATCCAATATTATTAAAGACATTTGCTAAAAATAAAACAGAATTTTTTTTAATTTTAAGACATTATTTCAACTTCCAAATGTTGAGATAAACTGAAAAGCCAAAAAATTATTTTGATGCGCTCGCCGTCTACAACATATCCAAAGCCTATCAACATCGGTGAAGGTCAGTTCCGACCCAGAGTTTCCGTGATTCTGAATTACATATGTGCATTTACAAGGACATATGTGAATCTTCTAGCTCCATCCGGTTACATGCTTCAATGTTATCATCCAACAAATAATTAATCTTTTGCAATTTTGGACACTGCATAAGAATTGCTGTCATGTTTTTAGGTAATGTTGGCAAATGTACTTGTTTTAAGTTTTTACATAGCGTTAGTGATTCGCCGAAATCATCATCGAGATACATCAAATTAATTTCTTCCAAGCGTTGACAGGAGGAAAACAATCTACGCAAGCTACTCTTATCGATTCGTCCATTGTTCCTGTAATAAAAGCCATGCTACTACTGCGGTTTTACAATCACAAAAAGAAAAACAACATAGTTGTTTCGTGATGCTTGTAAAAAATGTAAAGATACAAATTTTCATAAAAAATGTGTATGATAATATGTATTTTAAGAGAAAATATGGCATACACACGTACATCTCCTGAATGTTCAGTTTCCGTAAGTTTTTACACTCGGCGAGAGCATCAATACCTTGCGATGTAATTAATTTAATAAAATGATTAAATGTGGAATTGGAGAAGGAGAATAAAAAAAAGGTTGTATCGTTATTGTATTATAACTGCCAATGTGTGCATCACGTTCTCTGCTAACAGATTGCGCGCGATACCACGCGATGTCTAATAATACAACGCGTCGCGTGAATGCTTCTGGAAGACGGTTCATATTACCGATGCCTGCTTGTAGACGCCAGTTGCGAGTCGACAATCGCTAACTTGAAGGAAGTAATCTGCAACTATGACGTCCACTACGAAGTACAGGGTTTCGCATTCGGAAAGGCTTGGAAGGTATTAGTCGCAGCTACAATTATTGGCCTAATACTAATATTTCTCCCTACATAATTTACTAATTATCATATAATCAAATTGTGACAAAACGTATTGGGCTTATGTGGAAAACAATGCCTCGTCACTTACACGTTTTTCACTGTAAATTATTAACGTCGCGTTAACACTTTCTCTCAGCAAATAATTTAAAATAAAAATAATAGAAAGAAGAAATTTATTCTTCACGCGTTAATAATTTTATCCTTAAAATAAATTGGGCATTTTTCTGCATTTACAGAGTAAATACACTCGCGTTATCTAAAACAATTATGTATTTAGTTTTGCACAATATAATTACTGCTAAAAACTTCATCTTTTGTTCATAAGGTATCTTGTAGCAGCTAAGAACATAGCGCCGGGGGAAGTTATAATTCGAGAAGAACCGACCGCGGTCGGTCCGATGATGTACAAGGATTGTTTCTGCTTTGCCTGTATGTGCACACTACCAAGAATTTTCAAAGAAAGACGATATGCTTGTTCAAGATGTAACTTTGCACCGCTGTGCAGCGTGGCATGCGAGGTAACAAGTTGGAGTACATTTACGTCGGCAATTCGCAAAAAGTCGGAGAAAGAGTTTGTTATCGTACCGAGGAAAGAAACACTTTCGCACGATCCGTTGGATGAAACTTTAAGCGCTTGCAAACGAAATTACTTATGAAAAATGTATCCGACCAGTGATTTTGCTCATCGGAAAAGGAGAACTGCGAATAAAAGCTAAAGCTACGAGTTGCTGCGTTACGTAAAGTTACAGACAGTTTCAAAATAGTATTTCTAATCTTTTTCCTCTTGTTTTTCCTCGTATCTTCAAAGGCACGAACAAATCATCACACGAATGAGGAATGCCAGATATTCAGAGATAATCGAGATCTATTGGCGGAAAACAAAATTGACGCGGCAGGAATTTTACTGGCTTTGCGGCTATGGCTGGTAAAACACAAAAATCCAGCTGTATGGGAGAAAATAGATCGTATGGAGGCTCATTTGGATAAAAGGATTGGCACGCCCGTTTGGAGGCACAGAGAAGTCAATGTGGTAGATGTGAGTTTCACATAAGTCAGATTTTCAAGTATATTGTACGTTTAATCTAATCCATCGCGCGAAGAGAAAAGGGATATATTCTTAAAATATTTTTCTATCGGTTTTTTTTTATTTACTCGAGTGCATCCAAGGTGTTTAGTTGTCCCATTCCGTATATGTGCATGTGTAAAATGTGTTAAAGATAATTCGAAGGTTTCGCGTACCCGCCGAGATCGAGCCGCCGAGCGCGGAATTAATGCAGAAATTGTGCGGCATTTTGGATGTGAACGCCTTCGAATTGCGATCACCTGGTGCCGTCGACAGTCTTCTTCTACGTGGTTTATACATCGAGGCGACCCTGATGGCACACGACTGCAGAGGCAACACTCACCTCACCGTGGACGATAATTTTCAGCTCACTATCTACGCGAGCGTAGCGATCAAACAGGACGAACCTATCCTATTTAATTATACCTCGTCGCTGCTGGTCAGTTAGTTATATAAATATACAACTCTAACAAAATTAATATTTTATTTTCACTCACTATGCATGCTAATATTTCAATATTACTCTTAGAACGTATGTACATGGAAAGAGAATTGAGTACCGAATCCAAACGCGCATACACTGATATCGTCATTGCCGTCGTTACCGTTGTGTCGTCGAAAACAAGTTATTAACAAATTTATTTTAAATAACGGTAAAGCCCAATTAAACTACGTATTGAGATTGAGATTAGATCGAGATTTGGCCAATCAGTAAAATTCATTAAACTTGTTATTAGTAAACTTCACTCTGATTGGTCTAATTTCAATATCAATCTAATCTCAATACCAATCCGTAGTCCGATACGAGCTTAACGATAGCAAAATTAATATCAAAATACGCGTACTGCAGACAAATGGGACTCTCTACCTTTCTCTCTCGCACAGATATTGGATACGGGCTCGTTAGATATGAAAATATACGCAATTCCCCTTCCATGTATATGTTCTAAGATATTACTATTGATTTATCTTAAGTTACATTCAGGTTTATCTAACGATTTAATTAAAAGACAACTTACTAAAAAAAAAATTTTTATCATCGTAAAGTCTAAAAGAAACATTTAATATTAATTACGTACTGAATGAGCTTTAAAAAGCAAGAAGTCCTTATTTTACACAGCAATATTAATATATTTATTAGGGTGCAGCTGACAGGAAAGAACATCTTCGAGAGGGAAAGTATTTCGAATGCGAATGCTCTCTATGTACAGACCCGTACGAATTGCAGTCGCATTTAAGTAGCGTGCTATGTCCGCGTTGTAAAAAAGGATTCGTAGGGATACAAGATACTTCCATTGTCGATCCGTACGAGCGAAGTCGATGGCAATGTCAGGTGTGCAAGAGGACCTACGGCGGCCGTCTTATCAGAACTACGTTGAACATATGCAGAACGCTTATCGACGAATGCGAGGACGTTGACATAAAAGTTCGTGATTACATAAATCGGCAATGTATTTGGAGCTTTACACTTTTTCCATAATCATTGCGGCCTATTATTTTTCTAGAGGATAGACAGCTTACTTAAAAGATTATCCCAATCTTTGCATACCAATCATTTTCTAATGTTGTCCCTGAAGCAGAAATTGTTAACGGCGTGCAGAAAAGAAATAACATCTCCCAATCCTCAGAAAAAAGTTGTACAAAAAATGTTGGATACGTGTAAGGAAGTGTATAATGTCTTGGACATAGTAGAGCCGGGCATATCACGTTTAAAAGGTACGAATGCATGGTTTATTTAATTCTAGTTATATATATACTGCATAAAATATTTCGACAATATAAATTACAAATGCCTAGAAAAAATAATACCTCGATGTTATAAAATTTTACAAAGATATACGGATTTTTATGCGATTACGACAAATACTAGTATCAATATTATTAATATCGGTTTCAGGCATAATGTTGTATGAGATGCATTTACCTGTAATAATATTGGCGAATCGATCTTATTCCGCGCGTGAGATTTCTTCGACGCAGTTGGCAGGCCAACTAGAAGAAGCCAAGGATCTTCTAAAGAAAGCACTGACTATGCTTCTGTTAGAACCGCCGACCACGCCAGAAGGGAAATTGGCTAAAAGAGCGCTAGAAGAATTACGGACGCTAAATCAGAATATAAGCGATGTGAAATCTTTACCATCGGAAAAGCCCAAAGTCCATGCGCGTAGAGCGAGAGAACATCGTAAAAAAATCAAATGATATTCTATACCATCCTAACATATTTATGAACTTGCATTAATATGAAAACCGGTTCAATTTTTCTTGTAAAAAGAACAATATCTAAATAACATATTATGTATTAAATTAATGAAAAATTTGTGTACCTTTGAAGTTGGTATTAATTTCTTCTTTATTCTCTACTAATACATCAGAAGACAACACAAGTGAGCCTTGTTACACACCAAAAGATGTATTATACACCTTTATGTACAAAAAATCAAGTACAGTCAACAACAGTAAATCAGTAAACAAAAAAATGCATAACTTAATAAGAGCATCAACAAACAATAAAAGTAATATCTGTTGCAAATGTTTCAGAAGAATCGTAACCACAAAACGTGATGAAAAATGTTTAAAAATTTCACTTGAGAAAACAGTTTTCTTTGAAGAAGAATCGATGCTAAAATAGTTATTGAGGCTGAATTATAACCGAATCGCAACTTTATTTTTAATTCATATCCCTAATTCAAACATTCTTTTTTATACAGTCATTATTTATGTTAATGACTTATGATTGTATAGGTATTGCGTAATACTATGTCGCCTTATATTAAAGAGAAACCGTTTTTTTTAACTATATGATAAAAACAGACCACGTTTTTGTATCGGTAATGTATCTATCTACATAGATTTAATACATTCATACAAAATTTTAATTCCACACAATTGATTTGGAGGAATAAGTAACACTCCAAAATTCTAGAACTGTGTGTACAGTCTATGTAATATTTCATATAGAAAAAATGTGCCTGCGCACAGCTAGAAGTTGTAAAATTTCCAAAGTTTTTCGATTCTCTTATCGTAAAGGTATTCGCGAAAGGACACGATCACTCACGTTTCGTCTTGTGTAGCAATAATCATAAAAGTAAGGTACAAATTGCGCTATCCACTGCTCATAACTTCTTTTGTTCAATATTGGTATTAGATTTGAAATTGGCATCGTTCAAGCAACTGCCAAATGCAAACATTCTTGGAATGTCTTGCCCGTAATATATTTTGGTATTGTGTGCCAGCGCTTCGTATTTCTTGAGCTCTAAGAATTCGTTAGACAAAAGTATCTTGTTCGCCTCAGCTTGCATTTTCATCTGATAAAATTCGGCGTCCGAACGGCTCTTTTGTCTTGCTAAATGCATCTCATCCTCTATCGCAGCCATCTGTTGCAGGGATTCTTTTTCCATAATCTTTTGATTGTATTGAATCTTTGCAACTAGCGCTTCTTTCTCAGCCTCAATGATGGCCTTCTTGCGATCGGTCTCCGCATCCTTCTCCACTACTTTCTGATGTTGCGTCGATATTAATAGCTTCGTTTTCTCTGCTTCCCTAAACAATTCGAAATATTGTATATATGAAACATTAATATACAAAATATGAGGAAAATCGAGCTGTAAAGGAAATCAAGGATAAGCACTTACATTAGTTCATAGTTCTTCCTGATTGTTTCCGGAATTTTTGGCTTTGTTACTCTTACAGCTTGTATTTTAAGACCAGGCGCCAATTCATTCAAGTCCCTTTGCAGCGCAGTCTTCAGATTCTCATCGATTTGGTCAAACAAATCGATGTACACCTCGTGCAGTGTATGCACAGAACAAAATTGATTTAATTCGTGATGCACTTTATTAAAAATTAAAGTACGATCGTAATCCGCAGTGAAGTTCCTCACCATGTTGTAAACTACGCAAAAGTGCACACGTCGATGTATACGCGCGTTAACAAAACACGATAAACATTCTCAAAAAGTACAACGCATTATTTACCGCTGTTCGCATCCAGTATATTCACAACTTCTATACGATCGAAGTAGATGATAACACCGCCGCTGGTCCCGCACGGCACATTCTTTACCTCGTCCGTCTGCAGAGTTACTTGAACCGAGCGATACATAGTGAGAAACGGTATCATCATGTGAAATCCTGGAGTGCTCACTTGAGGCAACAGTGCGCCACCCTGGCAGACATTCGCGCGGTTAAAAGTGGTGGAAAAATTATTCGAGACAATGGCAAATCAACACCCGTTGCCGCCTCGGAGACAACTCACCCGAAAGTACACCCCCACATGGCCCTCCTCGATGCGATGAAGGGAAAAGTTGAACACCACCGCGAAGCACACGAGGAAACCGAGCGCTACGATTCTTTGGTCAAACATCGTCGTCCGCTCACGGTACTCTGAAAAAAAATACAAGAAATACGTTTGCGAGATTGAACGCCCATACATGCGCATGTATAATATGCGTGTTGAAAATACAGGGTGAATACATGAGGCGAGTCGCGAGTTCGCAGCGGCTTCGAGCAGATAGTTACGTAACACGCGGGCATAAAACGATAATTATATATCGTACAATTAGCAAATCCGCCGGTCCGCTGGCACGATTCCCCAAAATTCAAAACGCCATCGGGGGAGGTTATATTTTCCGACGGTCGTATCGAGCGAGTACAGTACCTTGACCTAAAGGATGGCGAGGGTGTTACAAGGCGATAGCAGATATGCGATTACAACTAGAGGTCACAGCGTGGCCCGTTGGATTCATATTTGAAAATGAAATCGAGTCCCTCGATAGTAGTTAATTTATCTGGTAGCCATAGCGCGTTCTCCACAATTTCTTTTCTCCGGCCGAGGTATCGACTCAGGGTAAACGCGATCGTCGGAAATAACGGAAACTGCATCAATTAGAGGACACGTCGAGCCAAGGACTTTTGCTGTCGCGAGAGGATCAAACTGGTCCAGATTAAAATGACCCTGCGCTACGATTGGTCAAATCTGAAATTTCATCGCATTGAACTTTTTTTCAATGAAATTCCAGATTTAACCAATCACAACGCGAAAGCAGCCAAGGCTTATATTATAATTTGTCGTGCGACAAAGTTTTCAAGCACGTCGTTCGGCTGCAGAATAGAAAAGTTGTCGAGTCTCTGGACACAAAATGTATCCTCATCTCTTTTATCTAAAGACCTGCGTCCACGATGCTAGAACTTCGCCCAAGTTCTAGTCCCGAGAAGTATGTATAGTCAATTAACTTGCAACTTTAAGGGAACAGTTGCAAGTTGATTGACTATACATTTTTCGGAACTGGAAGTTGGACACGGTTCTTGGATCGCGGACAGAAGGCTTAATACATTTTCTGCAAAGCCTAAGTTGCAAAGTGAGAATTATCGTAACAATATCATCATACGCAAGGAAGATGTCGAATCAATTAAATTAGATGAATAGCAACACTGCAAAAATAATGCACCCTTTGCATCTGGAACTGTCAATTTGTTAAAACATTTGTGTAATATACAAATTATGTGGCTTCTGTGCGCGGACCGACTAGTTTCCACTGATCGGATTAGATCAGGGAACAGCGCGACATCATTGAAATTAAGTTTGGTGGTCTAACAAAAATCTGTTCCTTCGAGTAAGTTCTGGGTTAGGGAACACAAATGTTTTCATGAATTGACAGTTCCAGATGCAAAGGTGCAAAAAGTGCAGGATCACACCAGCGTCCCCTTAATTCTAACAATCCCTGGATTAAAAAACAAAGGACTAAAGATTCCTTTTAAAACTTTAAAGCTTAAATTTAAATTCTTTAAAGCGTCTCAAATCGTATATCGAACAAGTTTCGATCGTTTCGACTCGAATCGCGACTTGTCGATAAGTTCGTTCTTATCTTACGATGCTTTCCCTCTTTGTTCCTCTTTATTCCAGGTCGTGCGGCATACAAAAACAACACCTGATATGATAACGAGGTTAGGGTTAGGTTAGGTTAGGTTTCCGAGGTGACGTTGATCCGACAGTGGGACACAAACTTGTAGATAATTCAACGGTGTATTTGATTAATGTTTCATTCGTGATTCGTTCGGCAAAAGATGGAAGTTAAGACGAAGAGCGAACACTTGCTAGCCTTGAAAGGTAACGTGGTAGAATTATATCGCTTGTCTTAATCGTTGAAGGTCTATCCAGATAAACACTTGCACAGGTGCGTAAGCATGTGCATAAAAAAAATTGATTGGTCCATTTCCTCATGCATTTATGGTCCAGTCAGTTTTGCGCTGCGCAAGTTTGTCTGGATAGACCTGTCGGCCTGGTCTACAATGAGCTGTTAGTCGCTAGTCAATAGTCGAAACTATAACGTTGGCCCTTTTCCTTTCTGGGTGGAAGAAAAAGGACTGACAGGTAGTTCTGACTTCTGACTGACGTCTAACAACTCATTGTAGACCGGGCCTTAGACTAGAACCGTACAATTACTTTAATGTACGACCATCTTCCACCTGGAAAAACGATGATGAGAAGCAATTATGTCCGTTATTAAAATTGCACCCAACAATTTCTTCTCTACAGTAATGAGATTGACACGTCCCACCCTGGCGAGTCCCATGGTTGTCACGTGTGATTCTACTGACCTGCCGGGCAACACGTTAAACAATGAACTCAAGAGCGATTGCACAGCGCTGCAGGGCATGGAGGCTCTCGCTATAGGGCAGTTCATGGTGCTGCCTCAAAGCTTTGGGTACGTCTCTCGCCCGGGAACTTTTCCTGGCACGTTTACGTCGCAATGGGCCACGAATGTTTCTGCAATATTGGAAGTGATGTTTATTATTTCAGAAATATATATTTAGGGGAGATATTCTCCAGTTACCTATGTGTTCATAACGGCAGCAATCAAGTGGTGAAAAATGTTACTGTCAAAGTAAGTTCGAAGTTATATATATATATTTTTTTTTTCTTCAGACGATCTCGCTCGACGTCGTATTTCTATGTTTTCTCACGTGCGTGTCTGCGTTTCGTAGGCAGATTTGCAAACGAGTACACAAGTGATTCCACTCTCCAGCAGTAATCTGGAAGGGAAGGAATTGGCACCTGACAGCACGGTGGATGAAGTTATTCACCACGAGGTTAAGGAAATAGGTACACATATGTAAGGATGTTTACGAGTTCCTACATATGAGTGTAAAACAAAAATTCAAACATTTTTACCTTCAAGTAGAGCGTACACCTCTTTTGTTTCTCCAGATTAGTTTGCGAAGTGTCTTATACAAATCAGATCGGACCCCCGCTGTCATTCAGAAAGTACTTCAAGTTCCAGGTGGTTAAACCACTGGACGTGAAGACCAAATTTTACAATGCAGAAGTAATATTTAGATATCAGTTATATTAATGCCATTACGTACGAATATTCTTATTGTACTTTGGTAATGTGTTTTCATGATGATTTCATGGTAAATTTTATGATGCTTCTTCAAGTCGGATGAGGTATATCTCGAGGCACAAATACAGAATCTAACAGCTGGGCCAATTTGCTTGGAAAAAGTTGCCCTTGAATCGTCCCACTTATTTAGTGGTAAGTTCCTACTGATACAACGTCGACTAACCCCGGTTTTTCACCAACGTCGTTTAACTTTGATCTTACATGTTCATCTCTTTTGGAGTGGGCGATTAGAGACAAAGGATGAATTAAACCAAGATCAAAGTTAAACGACGGTGGAAACGGGCATAAGAACCTTAAATTAAAAACTCCCGTTTTAGTGACTACATTGAATACAAACGACGAAGAGCACTCGATCTATGGAGATGTAAATCTGTTAGATACAGGCTGTAGTAGGCAGTACCTGTATTGTTTGAAGCCGCAGTCGAGCTTGTTGAAGGATCCGAAAATGATGCAAAATGCCACGAATATCGGCAAACTGGACATCGTGTGGAGGAGCAATTTGGGCGAGAGGGGAAGATTGCAAACGAGTCAATTGCAGAGAATGGTATGTCGCGTTATTTCTCGACGCGAATATGTTTACGTGTAAAATTACTCCGATGTTGTTTCAGGCACCCGAGTATGGAGACCTGAGGGTTATCATAAAGAATATTCCTTTAAAGGCCCATCTTGAGGAGCCAGTTAATTGCACATGTCATATAATAAATACGTCGTAAGTGCGATTACATTGAAATTACATAGAATTGTTGGGAATGTAATGACGACTCTTTCGCTCCCACGTACAGAGAAAGAAGTATGGAATTGTTGTTGAGCTTAGAATCCAATGATTCCATCGCTTGGTGCGGCATGTCCGACACAACGATTGGCGCTCTGAAACCCGGCGCTTCCATGGACATACCTCTCTGCTTCATTACACTCGAGACAGGCATTGTCGTGAGTAATTTACGAGTAAATTACGAGGAATTGCCGCTTTACTAAATATTCGTTTCTTTACAGACCATTTCCGGCTTAAAACTTACGGACACGTTTCTGAAAAGGGTCTACGACTACGATGACTTGGCGCAAATTTTCGTCAATCAGTTAGATTGAAAGATATGCAAATAACAAAAACACTGTAATATAATAAGAGTATTACGCGGCATTTATTATTTATAAACATAATAAAACATCCAGATATTCTTACATAGAAGCAAATGTGGATGTACTTAGAGTTACTCTAAAGTGAGGATGTTCATAAATATTCATCGAACATTGACATCTTTTCGGTTTCACTGACCGCCTCTACCGCACACGCGAGTAACGTTTGAATGTCTCGCGGTTCGTTACCACCAAAAATATACCCATTGGCTTTATCCACCGCGTTCTTCACTCGTAGCAACAATGCTTTGTTGGTAACGTCCAACGGTATGAAACTAACGAGACTGTAATCTTCGATTATTGACACTAGAGCAGCATTAAGTTTTTTGTACCTGCGAAACATTATATTGCGTACTGCGGTTTCTTGAAATGAACATAGCTATATTTAACTTACTTTGCAGTGAAGGGATTTTCGTCCAACTGCTCCAACAGATACTTCAAATCCAATACTTCGGTGTAAAAGTCAGTATTGAACGCTAGCCGATCGCTGAACTTTTTCATCTCGTCGAACTTTGTCATGATATTTACGTGAGGCAAGCCTATTTGTAACATCACCATTGTGCACATATTTAAAGAGGCCAGGTATTTTCCTACAAATTATACGATTGCATCGAGCGCATATGGAACGCTAATAATTTCGTATAGTCCATTTAGCTAATTCAAAAAAATTTATAATTAATAGCTACCAGGATCACTGCAATGATGCGAGTCCACGAGATGCACGCTGCATAATTTCACTAGATTCTGACTCAACTTCTCCGCTATCTGCTTCACCGATTTATGATGCGTATACAACTCGACCTATCACATTAAATATCATTTGACGTTATCCGACATAAAGTGAGATGATTAAAAAAAAAGGAACGCAAATTACTTGACCGGGACAATCGAAAATGAAATAGTGATCTTTCAAATTCAGAACTTTTGAGACAAGCCACTGGATGTTGGCTTCTAAGAATTCCATACAGTAAACTAAAGCTCCGTTCGGCCCAAGTCCGAGGTGCTCCATGACCTCTTCGTGTTTAATTAATTCGGATATATCTGCCGCCGGGGTGTACTCCATATTTTCGTTCGCTGGATCTAACATGTAACAATTGTTCGCTCTAGACCTGGTCCAGGAGAACAAATTGATATATAACATTTACACACCGATATTAACGACGGCCACCTTTCTCCCAACGGACTCCAAGAATTTGGACATTGCGTTGCAATATGTTGTTTTCCCACTGCCGGGTGGGCCGATGACAAGTTGACCGAAGATTAAGCTCATGGCGACTCGATTAGCATTACATTACCATGACTTTATCTGATTCACAGCCACGACAATGGACTTCAAGATCGCCAGGTCATAATCTTTCAGCGCTATCGATAGCAGCAATTCTTTCTCAATGTTAATCTGTTGCGCTATGTATCTGGCGGCTAGGTGAACGTCATTGTTGTCGCTGCCAAAAACTGTCCTAATTTTACGGAAATTCAAGAAGTTTTAATTAAATAGATAGTGCATTGAGCAACCGTGGATCATTACAGTACTTGCATTAATATACAATAATTGTTACATTGTTATTACATAATTTGTAATTACGTTTACTTACTTTATCGTGAATACATCGCTATTGTAGCCGTTCACAGCGGATTCGCGATTGACCGTCACAAACGTCCCGAGCTTTTTGAAGTGCGTTACGATCAGCAGCGTGCGATTGCTGTAAAAAATGAAAACGTGACGGCGCGTTGATATACAAAACCGTCTACCAGAGAGGCTCGTACAGATCGTTGCCCAGTACCTGTAGGGTCTTAAAATTATGTCAGTGTTATGACCGTTTGTAACGATACTGCAGGAACGTTCACTCATATTTCTTCAGCATTCCTGAACTCCGAGGTTTTGCGAAGAGCTACCGTAACCTAATCCAGTTTCGCGACGAGCAGTTCCGAAAAGTGCACGAGCGGTTACACGCTAATTTTTTTAAAAAGGGAGGGGATAGTGTTGGCCCCAACGAAAATCCCTAGGTAACATAAAACCATGGACCTAAGAATCTCTGGACCGAGCATACGGCGAGGGGGCTGGCAAATTTGCGGTAAGGGGGGCGAGAGTGCTCTCCTTTTCTGTCCTCTTGGACCTCTCTTTCTACAAGAGGTCACAGTGACCTCTTGTAGAAAGAGATACCATGAGATACCAAGAGGACAGAAAAGGAGAGCACTCTCGCCCCCCCCTTACCGCAAATTTGCCAGCCCCCTTGCCCGTTCTCCCACTTCGTGCTCGGTCCAGAGATTCTTAGGTCCATGCATAAAACAGAAAGAAATCTGAGAGCGGCCACGCCGGTGTTTTACTTGATACCGTTCGCTCGGCTGATTCCAGCGCCTTAGGCCCGTTTTCAGTTTTGAAACTACTCCGCTACACTCATTCTCAAGCACTGCCGATAAAGTCTCCACTTGGTGTGTGTCCGCGCTACGCACATTTTTCGAGCGGATAATGCAGTGCCCAATTTTGGTTGTATTCCGTGCTGCATGCATGACTGTCTCTTCGTAACTCACTCTTTGAATATAACATTTCAAGAACATAAATATATTGTAGAAAAAAATTTTACTTTGTGCTATTTATATTTTAATTATATTCCGCGATGAAATTAAACAATAATTTCTTAAACATGTTGTAAAAAACTGATCGCGAAAACCGACCGCGAAAATCGACCACAAAAATACGAGATGCGTGCGACTATAATGCATGTATTCATGCGAGACGTATCTTGAAAGTATCGCGAGACATGCAAAATAAATGACGTAAGATCCAGAAAAAAGCAACTTGCTCCACGAGTGATGCCGATATTACATTTGTTGAATACAATTGAATATTACAGTTAATTGATAATCTTCGGCGGGTCGGTTTCCGCCGCGGCGGCAAACAACCCGTATTTCGTAGCTAATAAATACATAAAAAAATGTGTGCAAGTTGATGAATTGTACAATCGTACAATACATTGACAAATTTTTTAAACGTCTTGATTTGCTTTGTATAAAATAGAATGTTTCAGACGCAAAGAGCACTTGTAGAAGATTCATTCGACGCAGTCGGAATAAAGCAGATTTTCGATTGCTCATTTTAAAAGGATTAGTTTTTTGTTTACTTTAAATATTCCTGTATGTAAAATAGAACCACGTATAAGGTTGTTAAAAAAAGTTTTTTAAATTAATTTTACAGAGTGTAAAGTATTTTTTATTTAATAGTTAATTAAAAGCTACTGTAGGAGGACAAAATGGAAACTGCCCTCATTTTTCGTCGCGATCGTACTTTCACTCAAGAATTCATTAAAGCTCACAGACTTCGAAAAAATAAGTTAGATGCAACCGTTGGTTCATGTACAACTATTATACACAAGGCGATGTACGAACCTGTTATGTACAATTATCATATTATACAAGGTAAACGTATGATACTACGTCAGAGAGATTCGCGAGGAAAGAAATGATCTAGGATCTACAAACAGCCTGACTTCAAGTAGAGATTTTATTGAAATATAAGGAATCTGTACCAGACAGAACTAAAATTACCGTTGAATTTGGTGCTACCGGGGTTCACGTATCGTATATGCCTGCGTAGTCACTGCGTTATCGTTTCATGTCCTCTTCTGCTCTCTCCCCTCTTTATCGTATAAGTAGTCTGAATATATTTATAAGTACAGAAACAATATCGAAGGTACGCGCACAGTCTATCTTGAAGTTCTAAAGCTAAGAAAAGGAATTCCTCTCTTTCTCTCTATAGACCTATTAGTTGCAATTTTACGTTTACAACTAAACGGGCAGGGGGAGGGAAGGGTTTCCGCTTTTCTTTATCTATGTACAACTGATAATTCAAAGATTTATATAAGCCATTCTTCTCACACGCCCCGCCCGCTACGGCGAAACGTGCCAGTTTCATTCAGCTATGTACAATTCTTTCTTTTTTTTTACAGGAAAAGGCTTTCCATATGTATATACACAGTGGTTTACATTACACAATTGAAATGTATACCTCAATTTTCTGCATTGATAATCGCAACGAATGTGTCAATCTAATTTTACGCAAGTGGCCCCCGTCTAAAAGAAAAAGAAACAAACACGCACACACAGATCTATCTCTTTTCGTTCAAGAGAAGTCGTCGAAATTTCCTTTTCCGATAAATTCCTCTAAAACCCAACGGGTTTTCCCAACGGTGGTCGTTGGAACACAGTCGTCTGGACGCGATATCGTACTAAACGCAGGAAATAACGTACCGATCATGCTGCTCTCAAACGAGACACACCGCACATATACAGTCTAATTACACCTACATTAAGGATGTAGAAACCTAAAAATCTTCGTATTAGTTATAATAAATAAGCAACGTATATGTTTAAATTTAACACGTATATATGCATATTAAATATATATTAAATCTCACGCATTTAATATATATTTAACCTGAGAAACTTCTTTTGTTTTCTTTAACATAATGCTGTCCACAGCAGGGGCCCTACCGCGCAGTCGTAACTAGAGCTTTCGATTGGATACGTGTTTTAAGATTCACGTGTACACGTAATCCGTGTACACGGATTTAAGGTACCTTCATTCACGTGTACCCATGAACGTGACACGTGTACACGTATAGTCGTGTACCCAAGTAGAACATATTGGTCATGAAAACATCAAGATGACATCATTTTTCGATCATTTTTTATGCATCATGGTGACGTCAAAATAGCCCACCGAGAGCACCTATTTGTGACATCATTAAGACATCGAAATGTTGTAAAGTTAATCTCGTTTTACCAAGCAAAGTTAATTAAGTATTATACATCAAAAATAAATCGAAGTAATATAAGACAAACATAATATATGATTGATCATGTAATCTGTAATAATATATTATTATACACGTCACGAATATCATGGTCATTAGTCAGTCATTGCGAAGTAAATCTTGATGTCGATCATTTTATGACGTAAAATTCGTCATTTTAATGTCACGTTGACGTTTTTGTGATTAACTTGTTCTACTTGGGTATGTGTCACGTGTATTCGAATATTCGTGTATGCGTGTTACGTGTAAACGTGTGCAAATATTTATCAAAATTCAATGAAAGATCTCTATTTCTGCATATGTTGTTCGACATATGTACACGCGTGGTTCCAGCATTCCAAGTTTTATCCAGATTTTGTCACATAATTCTCTAAATCTTCCCCTATTGAGGTATACACGGCTACACGTTTACGTATGTCACGTACACGGATATTCGTGTACACGTGCCACGTTCACGGATTCACGTAAATGAAGATTCTTTAGATTCGTGTACACGGACAAGTTAAATACACGGATTACACGTGTAGTCTAGTACACGTGCACTAGGGAGCTCTAGTTGTAACTCGCTCCAACAAGCAACCGCATCCGCGCTTCAACGATGCTGCGTATGCTCGATACACGCGCCAAGAAAATTCCGAAAACAAGGACCAACACCGGTATAATTTCGTCCAATTTCCGTCGCTAGAAATATGCGAGAAAGGAGTCAGTGACGTAAAGTTAGCGAAACTATATAGATGATTGGCCCTTGCTTAAAAGCGCACACAACATCTTCCAAGAATATTGTTATATCGACACAAAAACCGATGAAAATCGTCCGCTTATTGTATGTGTTCTTATATTCCTTTTTTATCACTCTTCAAACACATGTTCTTCTATTTCTCTCGAATTAAATTCGATAGCTCTGCCGGCAGAAGCTCCACCGATGTCGACTTCACGTTATTGAAGAATGACGACCTTCTTTGATAGAATTTCTTATTCTCTCTCACGTGGCTCCTATAATACTACAGCTCCGTATAGAAGCAAATCAATGAGAACTAATAATCAGAGAGCTGGAGAGAAAGAAACATCTTCAATCAGAGAAATTAAGAAAAATAAAAAATATGAGGAAAGAAAAACGTACAGTATTAAAATAGTAGTTTTTTCTGCTTCAGAAGAACGATTTCAAGCTCTCTCAATCAGCTAGCAATATCAAATTACATCATAAGTCATTTTCGTAATTTTTCATTTTTTCTTACTGACGTTTTATTCTTATAAATCAGAGAATAAAAGCTTTATTTATATCGTCACAAACAGTCATAGGAGCGTTTACTGTGAGAAAGAATAGGTGACGGTACTGTAGATGAAGTAGTGATGATAAGAAAAATTTGTCGATACCAATCTTGGACAGATTTAACTGTATCACCGTGATTATGAAAGAGCACATGCAGAATGTATGTGCAGCATCGCTAAAACGGGGTAACAGAGTGTTCAGTAGCGTGTAAGCTTAAACATGATCAGATTTGGATTGTTGTACTGACTTCAACAGTTTCGAGACGCGCCTTTATCATCAAAGGAGACGTCCATTTGGTGGTGTTCGACGATCGGAGTCTACAAATAAAATAGATCCACTAAGAGACAATGCAATGATCTCGCGGAACTGTCACGAATCGATATATGCGGGACGTTCTACGCTAAATAAAAAAAAATGCTTAATTGTACACGATGAATAACACAAAATCGAACGAAGCTCTCTCGACGGCATGGAAATGCATTTGTCGTCAAACGGATGTCGCAAATTACCTGAACTGACAATGAGACCGAAAAAACGCATCACAATCGTTAGCAATTGAAATACTGTGCGCAATTGTGCCTTCTTTCGAATGAAACATATTTTGTAATCGCCCGAAATTCTTGAGTCATACATTTTCTTACGTACATTCGAAATCTAATTTATACACAGTTTTCTTTCGCGATATTCTATCTATTTCCCAAACACATAGCAGAAATTCATTGATAAATTGGATACAACATCGTATTGAAAACTATCTTCTTTTTTTTCCTTTCAAAATAACTCGGAACGTCTCTCCCCCGTCGCTTCCGCGAAGCAGTTTCAATATTCTAAAAACGAATTAGAAAAATACTTCTTTTTTTCTAGGTATATCTTGTATATATAATAATATGTATCCCGTAGTGTAAAAATGAAAGCTAAGATTTTACTTTATAGCATTCTCTTAGCGTTCTAAGACAAGCAAATGATAAAATCAACTAGAAGATGTGGTATCCTGTAATAATGTTTTCCAGATCTTCAGCGTGTGGTTAAATCTACCAAGCATTTTAAAATATGTCGTGATAGCAGGTATGACGTATATTCGGTAATGAACTTATCACACCGACAATCGTCAAATCTTTACAATCAATTTACACAGAATCGCACGTCTTGGACACACAATCAATTTTCAGTTTGGAAAAAAAGACTCGCGGATTCTCGTATCGTGAACTCTGATCGACCGATCTTGGTATCAGCGTCCATTCGACGTTCCAGAGACTCCAATCGGTGCCTCAAGATTGTACAGATCTTTACGCGATGCCCGACTGCTTTCGTGTTTTTCATAGCGACACTGTGTAACGTCTTCGTCGCTAGAAAACTCGCTTGATATCATGATTACATCTTCGTCTTAATATCCGACGAGTGAAAATAATTTATATTTACACATTGTGATTCAAGACATCTTAGAGCAGACATTCTCGATGCAGGACCGTCAAGGACGATGGCTATCGTTCTTGAAGCTCAAAGGGTCTCTTTAGGATCTCTCTCGCGAAAGAAACCCTTTTCAGTCTTGCATTCCCTGATGGTAACGGTCTTGAGATTAACGGTAACGTCTGTGATAAACACTTGATCCGCCACGGGATTCCTTGCGTGCCAATAATCCGTGCCGGGATTTGTCACGTAAATATCTGATTTTGGAATCTCGGTCTGCTTGACGTTTGAACTATTATTATTATTGTTGTTGTTGTTATTGTTGTTATTGTTATTATTGTTATTGGTAGGACTGTGGTGTCCGTTCACGACAGTGGGTAACCTATTGTTATTGGTGTAAGAGTCCGTAGGGCTAGGTGATTTGTGACCGTTGGCTTTCTCGGTAGCGACTGCGTTCGATTTGTCCTGTTTTTGTTCCGATAACTGCCTCTTCTTCGTTGCAACCTGCTCCAAAGGTGTGTCTATCTCAGGAGACAGCGGTGCCGGTGGTGCAAGCGGAAGAGAGGGTGGCGGACCAGGGGGCATATCAGCTTCGGGACGCTTTTTGTCTTGTACCGCCGGTGCTGGTGTCGTCGGCACTGCCGGCAGAGGCTCCTCCGGTGTCGACTTCACGTTATTGGAAGACGACGGCCTTCTTTGATTTTGACCATTGGCTTTGTGACTCTGTAACGCAAAGCATCTTGCTTTTTATGTCAACTAGAAAAGACAAGCCACCAAGAGCTACTAGTAGTCGGTATTTTCAATTTCAATTATTTCTCTCTTGAGCGTTGCACGTGTTCATTAGTGATATTGTTATCCTTCTATTTAATCTAAATGGATTGCAATTTGTATGTGCAAGTTATGTAACTTTATGTAATTTAACCAGAAATTTAATTTCTTAATGCAACATTAACTAATTTTACAGTCTTAATATTTTAAATATTTTACGGACATGTAGATAAAAGAATCCCGTAATGCCATAACTTAATGTTAACACAGCGTTCATCGCGGCGACAATGATTTGCGCACAACTGTCGAAACTTACGTGATAAGACGGATTTGTGGGGTTGTTCTTCAAAGGCAATAACCGAGGAAGTTTGCTCGGAGGTGGGCTAGCACTGCCACTGCTGGGACTGCTCGTGGTAATTGTCACGCCGATCTTGCCGGATTGGCTAAGGACTTCAGCCTTCCTTTTCATACGTTCTTTCCTAGGCATTAGCGGAATATCCGTACTGCTGTTCGAACTCTCGGAATCGACGCTGCCAGGTGTCTCCGATACCGCTTCCGACGGTATCGGAGACGCATGGCTGTCTAAGGAACTTGGGAATGTGTCCTCGTCAGGGGCCACTGGATTTAAACGGGACCCTGAAGTGCTGCCCGTCGTCGACTCATCCTGACTGTCCTCGCCCACCCTTTCGTCTCCGCCGGGCTCCTCATCGACAACAAGATTAGACAGTTGTTCCTGAAAAAGGATTGTCGTCGATTAAGTTATGCGCAAAATGAAATAGACACTACTCTAATCACACTTTATGATCCTGTTAACCCTCGAGTTTAAGTTACGACTGTTTTACAGAATGAAGAAAGATTTTATGAACAGCTATATTCTACGAAGAACACCATAAAGTTCGCTGAGATACTAAGCTATTAAAGTGATTCAGTGTAATGCGGAAGTGATAAATGGGTCTCTTCAGTTATCTTCGTAATCCACAAACTTGGTAACAGCGTATACTATACATATACATATAATCACATTACTTTTAACAAGAATATTAAGCTAAAGTATCATTTTAAAGTAAAATACATTCCGTGCTTGGAAAGCATTTGCGATAATATTATATAATATGCAATAAATTAATATATTTTCTTTTAAACACGTACAGCGATAATTTCTTTGCGATATTTCTTCTTGGTTTGTATCTAACGAGTGTATTAGATAATTAATGCTCAATCGAGTGCGGACGAATAAAATACGATCTCCGTAAAACATCACTGTTGCGATGTATACGTATAAGAAAATATTAGTAAAACTTCGGCAATTTATATTCGGGGTAGTCAAGTATCTATGAGAAACAAATATATCGCTTGCTCTTACGTTGTATCTAGATCGCCTCGGCCTTCTGGTGGTGGGCACTACTACTTCTGCATTCTTTTGGCTTTCCTCGTACAATTCGATTAATCTGACGTCCAAAATGTTCTCTTCCGGCTCCCATGTGTTATATCTGAAACGATACAAGAGAAATTGCGTATTGCAATCACGAGCGACGTCCCGTCTAACGACAGATCTCCGATTTCGTACTCACTTCTTGCTCCATCCTTTCCACTTGACAAAGTACTCGATCTTGCCCTAGAAAGAAGAAAACTCGGATTAATTCTACGGTCATCGACGAGGACGGCTCTTAAAACGTACAACACGTGTATATTTCAGTGAATGACCGAGAGATCAAGCTGTGGACCGCTTCGCAGTAAAAATTCCCGAATATTGATTCCAATGCAAGAGAATGAAGAGAAATTATTGAATTAATACAACTGCATTGACGGCAAATACGATAAGCGCCGCGACACGTGAGGAAGCGCGCGCGAGTTGTCGTTTCATTATTCTCAATTATCCGCGGCGTCACCGCCGTGGATATCTGTCTCTCCGCGAGGAATTTGCGATCGAGCTGCTAAAATTATATAAAAAAAAGAAAAAAAACGCAGAGGGAACCGTGGATATCCGTGTAAAATATTAACATCATATAAAATAGCGACAATTGATAGCGGGAGGGGGAAGATACAAAAATTCGTGTACAGTCGTGGTCAGAAACGTTGTCCGACGTTGTATGATAAATTTTGGAAATACAATCTATCATGCGAGAGATTATAGCTTTTGCTCGCGGATATGTGCAGCGATGCATTATTAAAGCAAAGGAATAATATGTATAAACATTTATACAATGAATACGTACGAATATATTTCAAAAACTTATTGTAAAACTGAAAAAGGTGAGCTTATTGTCAACCCAACTGGCTAATTTTATTGAATTCGTTACAACGTTTCGACCTTACTTCAGATCCTTTTCAAGTAACAATACTGCAAATCAAGAAAATACAGGAGATTGAAATCGAACCTCGGTAATGTTCGAATGTTCGCTTATTTTTATCTTTTGACTAATTTATTATTATTAATTTATTTTCTTTTCTTTTTACTAGATGACTAGTAATTTTAATCTCTTATATTTTGTTGATTTTTGTATTGTTACTTGAAAAGGACCTGAAGGTCGAAAAACGTCGCAACGAATTGAATAAAATTTGCCAGTTGGGTTGACAATAAGTGCACTTTTTAAAATTTTTAATCATCACTGGCGACATTTTTCTTTATTGTAGAACGTCGGACAACCTTTCTGACCACGACCGTATCTCTCTCTCTCTCTCTCCAATCACGGGAAATGAGAGGGAAATCTTCGGAGCAGAGGATGTTTACGTTTTTCCGACCCACGCATATTACGTCCGCAAACATCGTGAGCATCGCGATGTGACGTTTCGTGCCCTGCGGCGTCGCGCAGCCGCCATTGCCGCGCGTAATCGCGCATTAATCACTTTCACATTTGCTCGTAATTAGATCTACCATTATCCCGTACGCAGTCGGAATTACGCTGTTGCGTCCACGTGTCGCGCACGCCGGACGGATCGTCGCGCCGATAAGATCTGCCAATCGGTGGGAACCGACTCCGCTTATCAGCGCGCGTAATTATAGGCTATAACGTAACGGCGCGATAATTAATTCGACGCGGGAGACGACGCGCCGTTACCATCGATTCCTCGCACACGTTGTCAATCGCATTTTGTCGGGCAGATCGAGCCGGCTGATCGGTGAAAGCCCGATTCGCTCTCAGTCAACGAGTTAAAGCCGAGGCTGAGATAAACGCGCGAGATTAACAGGTAGAATACATTTATTTATATTTCGAGATCGACGGATACCTCGGCGACACGCCGGTAAAAAGAAGGAAAAGAACAAGCTGGACGAGAACTCGGTGAGAGAGAAAAAGTGACGAGGAAGATCGAGTCGTGCCAGTGTAATGAATTTGATAATAAATGTATACCTAGAGTAAATAGTAGAGAAAAGTCCTTTATTATGAGATGGGCTTTCAATATGAGACAGCAGGTTTTCAACACCCAAATTCAATCGCGAATCTTTTTCCGCAACGATTACACGATCTAACAATGAATTTTTCGCTGAAAACAAATTTCACTCCAAGGACAATGAGTTTGCGATGAAACCAACAGATAATGCCTATTAATTTAGCAGAAAAACCCTGTTATCTTGTATTAGGGGACTTTACGTAAGTAGGTATGTATGTATACATACGGAGTCATACAATACTTGGGGCCAGTTTCACAAAAGTCGGTTAACTGTTAACCAGAGTTCAGTCGACTCACTATCTTTTTCCATCTTTGGCCGGGTTTTTCATTTTCTGGTTAACAGTTAACCAGAAAATGAGAAACCGGGCCTAAAGCCTTGTGTCCACGATCCAAGAACTGTGTCCAAGTTCTAGTTCCGAGAAATGCGTAGCCAATCACCTTGCAGCTTTTATGGAATAGCTGCAGATTGACGAAACTAGAACTTGGACCAAGTCCTAGCATCGTGGACACAGGCCTTAAGAAGAGACAGAGAATCAGTGAAGTTTCGATTAACAGTTAACCGATATTTATGAAACTGGCCCTTAATGCACGAATTTGCTCGCATATCAAAGGCATATTCGGGGCACGTGCTTCCTGTCTAAATATTCGCGTGTTAATGACTGGTGGTTGTCCGAGAGACCGCAACGCTGTTTTAAAGCAGCTAGAGAGGTATAAGTATGCCTCAGTTCCACGTATCAATGTTTGATAAATAATAATTGATAATATAACGGTAATAATTATGTTTCTCGGACAACCAGTAGTAGTGACACGTGATTATTCAGATAGGAATTTCACGCGTTGAATGTGCCCCGATATGCGGGCAAATTCACTCGTGTCAGAGCACGCGTGCTGATCAGAAAAAGAATGAAAGAACTCGGATTAATTCGACGCACCAAGCGCGACAATCTTAATCTTGTTAATTCTTTTCTCTCCGTTCATTTTGGTTTTAAATCGGTTTTTTCTTCTACGATTAATATTTGTTAAATTTCTATATTAAACGTCGCGTTACGTCTTGGAGCATATCTATTTAGAACCGTAAAAAGGACCGTAGTTAATATGAGTTAATCTGAACAATAGCAGCAGAAGTGTCCCCTTGTCTGTATCTGCCATGCGCTTGCGCGAGATGTTACCGCGCAACACATGCATAGTGTTGTAAACAATACTAGTGCACAATATATAATACAGTATACGCATGCGTATCGCAGTAAAAGTGCAGAGGATAGATATATATTTAGGGACAACAGCTACTCACAACAGCTATGACTATCCTTTCAGGTATATACATTCTCAAGGTATGTTCCATTTATCGCTCGTAACACTCGCAAGCATCGTTGGTCCTTATTTAACATTTGCTAAACAAAGATGAAATGATTCCAAGAGTGTTGTGAGTTTTAATGTGAAACGTACCCTGCCTTAAACGTTTCACTGAATCCCAGCGAATCCAAGAATGGGCCGGTCTTATTTTCTTATTAAAAAAAAACTGTCGACATCTTCGTACTTTAATATTAAGAACTTATGTTAATAAATTAATCTTTATACATTTATTAAAGAGTCGAAAAAGTATTCGCGTTATTGAATTTGGAAAATGTCGATAAAACTTCCAGATTGAATCTTAACCAAATAAGTTTTTTCTTATTCATTATGCTCGTAACTATCTACATAGGAAAATGTATAAATTTTTAGTATCTTGTTAGAGAAAGAAAACTGTCGAAAAACTGATGGGGCCAGTTTCACAAACGTCGGTTAACTGTTAATCAGAGTTCAGTCAACGCCCTATTATTTCTATCTTATGATCTAAAAAGAAACAGAGAATCAATTAATCTTTTAGCGCTTGTAAAACTGGCCTTCAGTCGATCAGATGGAAAACATCTAAAAATATGGATACCCAATGTAGAACATTTGGTTTAGAAAATTCTATTAGAAGCGCTATCTTGAAAAATAAAGTTTTAAAGAAAAATTACATATCAATCTTATCTGAATTTATCAATCGTACAATTTCTAACATAGTCTATTATTCGCAGTTCTCCTGTAAATTTTTTCCAATTTTTAAAGAACATTTTTATTAGAATTCCAATCGGGACAAAGTTCGACAAATCAGACTAGAAGATCAAGATTATCTGATTGATCAAATTCTAATTTTTAATTCGCGACCCTCAATCTTCAACGCGTCCGCACGTAATGCTATGACGCCCACGAGTTTCTGAAATCGATTGAAATACGAGAAAAAGAGGAAGCGAGAGATCTCGCTCGTGCGGCTGGAAAACGAGTGCGAATTTTCGAAAGCGTCTGGCGACGCAAGGCACGGTCGATAGCACGGCCGGCTCGATGTTCCATGGGCAGCTCACCCATTGGCGGTGGGCCAATGACAGAAACGGCACGCCGCTGCCCCATCGCGATGCACAGGCGTGACAGTTGGAAAACAATGACACGCGCGATACGTCCGCGGCGCGAATGAAGCCCTACGAACGAAGTCTGGCGGACGACGTGATCGACATGATAACAACGCGGAGCGGGTTGTCGTCCCTTCGCGGGACGTCGTTACCCGATATTGTTATGTGTCGATAGCGCGACAATCGTGTCATCGATTCGCGAGAGAAAATGCGCTTTATAACGTGCCCCACGCGCCGAGTTCGGTTTCCTCGGTTTTCGAAATCGGACGGCGAAACGGTTCGATACTGCGTAACAGACGGCGCAAAATGATTTCAATTTTGAAAGAAAGGAAGTCTCGCGGATGCGATCCGAGGATGGAGAATCGTAGGATCCCCCCCCCCCCCCAAGTAGCTTCTCGGCGCGAAGATGACTTTGTTTAACTCCTCGCGATTCGAATTAATGTTCACGAACGGAGATCAAATAGTTCATTGTCGTTCGATCCAAGATTCGGCCAGTCCGATGCGAATCGACGAATCTTTATTAACGGAATTCATGAAGGTTCCACGAACGTAGGTTGCCGATCGTGCGGCGATTCAAATGCTTGAGGGATCCATGCGGAAGCTAAGAGCCAGAACACACGAAACAACTTAAGCAACAAGTCCTAGTCTGCGATAGGTGACTTAAGCTCCAAGAAACTGACCAATCACAGTCGAGTATTCTCATAATTTTCGTCAATTTTTTAAGACTCAGGCGCTTAAATCATCTATTGTAGACTGAGATTTAGACTTGAGGATCTCGATCAATCGGAATTTTCAGCGCTGCTGAAGTTCTGAAGTTTCAAGATAGCTGCCCAAATTCTCGATTGTCATTGGTCAAGGCTCGAACACACGTAAGAACTTGAGCAGTAATGACCAATGAGAGACCGATAAGTAATTTTTTATATTATATTTTTGTATTATATAAAAGTTAAAAGTAATAGTAAAATGGCACACGTATATGTTAATAATATCTCAATAAACTAAACATTCCACGGGGCACAACATGCGTTCAAGTCTCATACGATTTGCCGCTAATATTGTCCCTGAGATCGAGCAACAAAATATATTCGGTTGAATTGGAGCTTATACTTGGTGCTTTTTACCTTTTTTTTAAAAAGGTAAGTTTTTTACGTGATGTTATGACACGAGAAGAGTGAGGATGTGGATAAAATCTTTCGAAAAGTGCAATCTGGCCGCAGGCCTTGACTACACATTCCTCGAAATTAGAACTTGGACCAAGTTCTAGCATCGTGGACACAGGACTTTGCTGCTTAAGTTCACGCGGCGTCTGCAATGAGATTTTAAAACGTGAGGTTTAAGAAACTGGTCAGTCACAATGAAACGCGAAGAGAAGGCTCGACTGAGATTGGTTGCTCAAGCCTCACGTCTTAAAATCCCATCGTAGACGCCACGTCGAAGCCACAGAAATCCGCGAAGAGTTAAGAGAAGATTCTCGCATTGTCCCGCGACATTATCGTGCGACTCGATTCACGACCAGGGCGAGTAGTCCACGTCCCAGCAAGTTTGTCGTCCGAGCGAATTTCCGGGCGAGAAACGAGGCAGATTCATGCAGGTTCCGCCAACCGAGCGAATTTCACGACGAGGTCCACGGCGCGGCAAGTTTCATAGAAACACGCCACCGGTCGCTACCAGCTGATCGCCATGACACACGGAGAGCCTTTCTCCTATCCGTCAGCGAACCTACCGCCGTTGCCTGCCTCCAGGGACTCCCGTTAACCAGAAATCGTATGCTCGGCGCTCGAGAGAGAACGCGTGGTCGGGAATATCTTCTTTTATACCAGCGGCTCCTCAATCCGCCATTAACCGGGGACAATAATAAAGACGCGAGAGCGAAACGTCCTCGTGCATTCGCAATGCTGAGGGTATCATATTAACAAAGTAGGAACGTGAAACGCCAGTAGTTAATTAACGATAAAAAGAATTATTGGACGACATTGGGCTGGTAGATGGTTTATTTATTTCATTCCGACGTTTCGACCATGCGGGTTGTGGTCCTTTTCAAGGAGTTTAATAATCTACAACTTTTCAGAGGACATTGCAACTTAAAAGTGTATCAATTACAACATGAAATCAACATAAGTCAAATTACTAATTAGGCATAATATTGTACTTGTGCGACAAATTTTTCACGCGTGTCGATATCGACTGCGGAATAGAAAAATTTCCGAGTCACTAGAAACGACGTATTCCGCAGCCAATCGACACGCATGAACAGTTTGTCGCGCGACAAGCGTAACGCCCGGTCTACAATGAGTTGTTAGTCGTTAGTCAGAAGTCGGAACTATATGTCGGTCCTTTTTCTTCCACCCAGAAAGGAAAAGGATCAACATATAGTTGCGACTTCTGACTAACAACTAACGACTCATTGTAGACCGGGCCTAACACTAGTCTTAAAGCCTCCGCTACAATGATTCTCGGTTCTGTCTACAATGGTCGTAGTCGTAAGAATAATCGACTGCGATTGGTCAATTCTTATCGAGCGACTACGACTACGACCATTGTAGACAGAACCGAGAATCATTGTAGCGNNGGAGGCTTTATGCTTGGTCTACAATGAGAGTCGCAGAGTCGCAGTCGTAAGAATAATCGACTGCGATTGGTCAATTCCGTCAGGCACATAAGAATTGGCCAATCATAGTCGATTATTCTTACGACTGCGACTCTCGTTCTAGACCCCGCATTACGAGTCGCGCATAGCGCGGCGCTGGCTTTATGCTTTCAATGAAGCGCCGCGACGACGGCGAATAAAAGTTCCTTCCTACATCGCACGCGATTGCGCGATGCCGCTCGTATCGCCTTTAGCGGATGCGAGTAACCGTTTGTTAAATGCAATCGATTCGGAGAGGCGGTGTCCCCTCCCCCTTTATGCGTGGACGCGCGGCGGAAGTGAATGAGAAAAGTGTACGATAATCGGAGCTCCCGGAATCTTATCGCGCGGTAGAAACGGGCCGCCTTTCGAGGAGAGTTCTATTCACTTTTTACTCCCCCCTCTCCCTCGTCTCTCTATTGCCGCCGTGAACGGTGTCGCAACCGGTAACGGGGCGCGGAATCTCGCGGTTTCGTTAACGGGAGCGAATCGATAATCTCGCCGATGGCAAGAGCCGCGGGATCGGCGAGACGCGACCGACGTCCGGGCGACGCGCTCCCGCGAGTCCGGCGAGCACGCGACGCGAACGGCATTGTGTACCGGGTAACGGGGGAGGTGTACCTGTGCCCATCGGCGCGCGATGTCCGATATATCGCGGAGCCGTTGTACAATACGTCACGGAGGAAGCGGCAGCCGCGCGAAGCCGGCTGTCCGCGAAAGAGGGAAAGAGAGAGAGAAAAAAAACCGAGACACACAGGAGGCGAGAGAGGTGGGAGAAGGGAGAGACAGAGGGGCGGTAACGGCGCGCGGACAGATTCCGCCTGGTGGCGCCATCTGGGGGCGGTCGCGCGCGATACTAACCCGCTTTTCCCTCTTCTTCGTGATCCGCTCCGCGGCGTAGACCCTGTCGCCCAGCTCCATGACTCGGCGCAGCGGTCAGGTGGCGGCCGAATTTCAATCCCGACGCCCTGGACGATCCCCGTGCGGCTTGTGTCTGCGTGTCGCGCGCGGAGCCCCGCGAAACACCATATGTGGACGCACCGGCGACGGGCGGATCGATCACGGACACGCGCGCACGCACGTGACTTCGGCAGCGATCACCGCGGGCACGTGCGTCGCGGCGTACGCGCGAAAGAGCTAGATCGTCGGCCCCGGCTCGCGCTGCGTGCAGCCGGGAAACGCGTGTTGACACGCGCGCCGATTACCACGTGGCGGCGGTCGTGCCTACACAGCGGCCGTGTCTCGGAGTCAGTTCGCTCGCGAGGCCGCGTCGCGCATCGTCGTGACACGCGTTGTCAGTCGCGACGCGTAGTCAACTCGCGCCGCGCGACATCGCCCGATTCCCGCTCCTTTTTTCCCTTTTTTTCCCCCGCGAAGCGACCGCTCTACGGGCGGAACGCCAGCGGCGCGACGGAGGGAGCGGAGGCGGAGATGCGCGCGATGTTTTTTGAAAAGCCAGTAGCGGCGGCGAGCGTGTTCGCGCGTCCCATCGGGAAAAGAGGCGCCGGACGGCGGCGCGCGGCGGGCGATTCCAGTTTCGTACACGCACGCGACACAAACGCGCGACCCTCTGTCGCGCGCTTCTCCGTCGACGCTCTTATTCGACGACTGCGAGACGTAACGTCGCAGTGCGCGAGCGCGCGCGTATCGGCGGCGGTGGTGGTGATGGGCTACCGGCGTGGCGCGGCACGTTTTTCCTCCTCGCTGTCGGTCGTCGTCGCTGTTTCTGCCTGTCGCTGCTGCCGCCCGTCGTCCGTCGCCCGTAGCCGTTCGGGCGAGTTCGGCTCGCTCGCTCGTACGTGACGTCAGCGACTCCCCCTCACGTCGTAAACACCAAACATGGCCGTCGTACGGATATACGCTGATCGAGTGCGTCCCAGGCTGAACGGGTAGATCGGCCGCAATACGGGCTGCCGCGGGCCGCGGCTATGCGCAGGTAACGCGCAATGGCATCCGCGGGCCCCACGACGTACTCACGTATGCCACTGCTCGCGAACGTACGCGCACCGGAGCGATCGACTCGCGGCGTCTAACGCACTCTGCGGATCGAGGCCGACTAGAGACGAGGTCTGCCCGACACCCCTCGCAAGCCTAGTGGACTCGCCCGATCCGTTCGAGGTAAGGAGGGGAGAGGGGATAGAGGGGCAGAGAAAGAGCGCGGTAGGGGAAGGGAGAGACTCTCAACGGTACGTGCGGCATGAGCGCGCGCGCGCGCGCGCACGCGAGAGCGAGAGAGAGGCAGAGCGGGAGGGAGGGAGAAAGGGAGAGGAGCGCGATTGAGTTGACCGAGACGTGGCGGCGGGGAGGCAAGGGGGAGAGAGAGGAAGAGTAAGCGTAATGGAGGTAGGAAAGAGAGACGGCGCGACCAGGAGCACCGTCCTCGGAACAAGAAAGTCGCCCGATAGCCCGCTTGGCTGCTCGCCTACCGGCCAGCCAACCAACCTACCAACCAGCCAGCCAGATAGCCAACGAGCCAGTCGACCATCCAGCCACCCCAAGTTCCCTTCTAGGTACGTGTGTACGCGCGCGTCCGTGTGCGAGGGCAGCGCGGCGTTGCCAAGCCTGCCTCATCGATAGCGCCGCGCCGCAAATGTCACTGTGGCGCGTACCCGCCGCGACGATGCTCGCCAATTCGTACGCCGCGACGACGACGACAACAACGACGACGACGGAAGTGGCAGTGGCGGCTACGACGGCAACGCTAGCGGCTCCACGATTTTCCACCTCCGGCAGCGAGTCGAAATCGATCGATCGACGACGACGCCGCCGCACGCTCACACACACTCTTTCTCGCTCTCTCTCTCTCTCCCTTTCCGTCGGACGCGCGCGCGTCCCTGTTTCCTCTCTTCGGCGCGGCCTCGCGCGCCGCACCGCACAGTACACTATACGTACGCGTATTCGCGCCTATAACATCCGGCAACGCCGCATCCTCCTGCGACGTTCTGTCACGCACACATACACGCGCGCCGCACGTTCACTGTGCTCGACGCGCGCGCACACCAGGCGGTTCGTAGTACGGCGCCGCGTATTCCTGCGGGCGGCTCGAACGCTGACGTTCGACAACGGGCGAGAGCGAGCGCGCCGTTTCGCGAATCTCCCGAGAAGGCGCGACAACGGTAACACGCCAGCGGCACACACCGAGCGCACTCGTCCCCGACACTTTTCCACAGTGTTTCGCGCGGCAAGACAGACGCGTGCTGCCTCAACGGATCCCGAAACGAGAGTGTCCTCTCCTGCGCCGACGGACGCACAGGGAGAGAGCGCGCGCGAGCGGGACGGAGAGCGCCCGCCGCTCCGGTGCGAGCGAGACGCCACGACCCGCGGGTAGGGCGGGAGGGATATGGGGAACCGTCTTCTCCGTCCTCGGCGTAAATAGCGGGATAAAAAACTCCCGGCGAGCGCGCCCGATTGGCGGAGGCCGCGAGGCGCCACCGACGTCCCGCGCCCCACTCGTTCCGCGCGTCCAATCGCCGCCTGGCACGGCCCACTCCGGTTCCCCTCGACGTGCCGCGAAGGCGGGCATCACCGACGAGCCCATCGGCCACGTTCGGGCTCTCCCTCTCCCCTCCCCATTCTTCCCCCTCCCTCCCCGGTCTATCGCAGGTTCGAGTAAAGTCTCCGATGTTTCTCTCGGCGAGAGAGCTCTGTCCCCTCCCTTCGCGTCGGGGAGCGAGACGGACGCGCAAGTGGCACCCCTCTGTTCCCCTCGGCCCCCCTTACACTTCGCCTGGCGCAGGGAAACCCGAATAGCGGAGCGCGGCTACCGAGCCGTGCCACACCGAGGGGTCTCTATTTTTTTTTCTCTCTCTCTCTTTCTCTCTCCCTCCTTCTGCCTTCGCGTCGCCGAACGACCGTGTAAAACCGTACGAGAGACGCGAAGCGTGTGTACCGGCCGCGAAGGGCGGGCACATAGACGAGGGACGCGGACGGGCGACGGGAGGGGACGTATATAGTCGCGCGCGCGCGCGTGTATATAGGCGCATGAGAGCGCGCGCACACGTATGCGCGCGAGCACACACGTATACGTGGGTCGCGTTGCGCCGCGCCACGCCGCGCCATCGTCGTCGTCGTCGTCGTCGCACTCCCCCTCCCCACGTGCAGTCCCACGTCGGTGGCCGACCACCGTCGGTATTGAAATATCCTGGCCCTGGAGAGCCAAGTAGCCGTGCGGCGATGCCGCTTCTTTCCACGACCGCTGTACATTGCGCGCGCGATTCTCTCTCCTCCCGTATATTCCGGCTCCGCTCATTGTTTCGTCCTCTCGCTCTCTAGCTCTCCCTCCCTCCCGCCGTCAACACGCGCCTCTTCCATTTTCTCCTTCTCTTTGTGCTCACGTCTTTCCCGGCTCCTGCGCCCGCCGACCTCGCAGCCCTCTTTCCCTCCCCAACCCCTCCCACGTCCGCTCTCGCGTGTCATCTCTCCGTCGCTCCCGTTTCCGCTCGTACTCGCGAGCGTACCCCTTTTCGGAGTGCCGCTCCGCTCGTCCCACCCCCCCTCTGTTATCCCCCTATCAGCCCCTCCGCCCGCTCCACCTACTCGGGCGCTCCCTCCGGCACGAGAGATTCGCCTCCCTTCGGAGCGCAATCAATCGCCGTGCACGAAACGCTGCGCAACCCCGCGAGCGATGCGTAAATTGGAAAGCGCCTGGCCGACGCACACGCGTTCCTCGCAGTTCTCGGCCGCCGTCGTCGTGTCACCCGCGCTGCGCCGGATTGCGCAACCCTGGAGCACACGCCGTAGCCCGGTCCACGTAGATGGCGTGTCGCGTGTAGATGAATAGGCGCGACCGCCCCCTCCCCCCTTGCCCTCCCGGGCCGGACCGACGTTCCCCTTTGTTCCTCGACGACGTCGACGCCCGCCGTCGCGTCATTAATCGCGCGCCTTTTTTTCCTACCGCGCCTACCTCGCTCGCGCCTATCGCGCTGCTCCATTCCGCTGCGATTGCGGATGGCACAGATATGGACTTCTTATATGGATGTAAATTATAGATTTTTATATGTAGATACGTTACGGCTAACTGCGTAATCAAATGTTGCAACAGAATGCGCTGCGCAATGTCGGACATGAATATTTCGGACGGAGTCCGATACGTGCGAAGTTACACGTTCCAGCTGCATCGGACACGACTAAATTTGTGTTGAATTGTTAATCGAGCGGCGAAAGCAGATCCTGCTTGAGTGCGCGATTCTCATGCGTGGAACGTAACGTAGGAAACGTGCAAGTGCCTTGTAAAGCTTATTCTACAATGCAATGCGGGCATAAAACGCGAGACGCTAAGCCGCGACGCGAGAATTCAGCCGGTGACAGTCGATCATCCTTCTCACATTTGACTGCGATTGGTCGATTCTCTCGCGGCTCAGCGTCTTGCGTCCATTGTAGAATAAGCTTTAAAGATATCGCGTTCGCGCTTGCGCGATCAGAAGGGAACCGAAACATAATAGGAATCGTTCAGGTTGCGTAGACGACACACTCCTCGGCTCGCAAAATCGCATCGTAAATGACGCTGCAACCGATATCGAAACGTGTATTCTATGTAGCTCTCTGCTAATTACAACTAATTAATTATCGCCGCTTTCGCAGCGTGCTCGGCTTCATTTGTTCAACCCGCCTCACTCGCGGACGTTGCTTGTAATAATCTGATGAGCGTAAAGACTCGCGAGCCAAACGGACGACCTACGTCACAAAATAAATATTTCTCAAATACTCCCTTCGTTCTGGAGCGGTCAATTGAGCGCGGCTCCGTTTAAAAAATTAACAAGCGGATCGAAGGAAGGGATTGAAACGGATTATGTGCATGACGGCCGAATTATTGTCTCTGCCTCGGTTACTTATTAAAAGTGACCCGCTTTTCGCGATGGTACATCTTAAAATTATTTCGCACAACTAACGAAATTATATGAACCTGTCGTTGAGCGACGACGGACGCGAGAGTGGAAATTTGTTGCAATTTATGACGTGAAAAGGCGATTCGGAAACGTCAGCGCGGCTCTCTTTCTCTCTCGTGATGTGCGAATTAGTTACGATATCGATTTGAACTCGTTCCGTAATCTACAACGTGTACCATATTGCGGCACGGCTAATGACTCTTGCACAATAACACATGCCGTACAGTCATTTTTCCGGAAGTGATGCATATGTAACGAAAAATGTGGATTCAACTGCGCCACTTTTTACCGCGAGAAACACGTCACGGTGTCTTATGTGCAAGAGCCGCTACGGTAATCGATGCTAATCGTTAAATACGGCACTTATTGGCGCGAAAGGTCTATCGGGTTTCGTATTAAATGAAGTTGCGGAACTCGAGATTTTATGAAAGAGGCTTTGAAAAAAACTCTCAATGACGGAAGGAGCGTGCGGTCCGGCGATTTTGCTACGGTTTCACCGAGGAGTAAACCGCCGACCAAAATCACGTACACCAATGCCTACTAATGCCCAGTGGGCATTACTCTACCTTATTTTATCTTTCTTATCTTTATAATGCCCAAAAATGCCTAGTAATGCCCAATAATGCCGCAAATCTGTACGCCACAATGCCCTCAGCGGTTTACCCCTGGGGTTTTCCCCGAAATTTCGTCCCCGCAGCCACGTTCGACAAGTCTTTCGCGTCAAGCTGATACATCTGCAGTATAATTATAATTATTATCAGTTCGCGGTGCGTTCGCCCGAAGAATTGATCGATTTCCGTCGCACTTCCTACGTGTTACTCCCCTCTTAAATCGAGCTTGTCCGCGGACGTATAGCAGGGAGAAAAGCGGCTGTAAACGAACGAATTGAATCCAAGATGCGACGCGGACAGAAAGCTAATGGAGAACGGGAAAAATAATCGTCGCGTGTGAATCGATATCGTTCAAAAATCGCGCGAGCACGCTACAAAGGCCTGCGTTCCGTAGCTGGGAGCGAGAGGCCCTGACACGCTTCTGCCGCGAGCGATGTCGATGGCGCGCGGCGCGTTGCCATGCCGGGAAGAGCGGCGGCCCCGCGTGCCCTGCCTCGCGCGAAGCTCTCTCGCCAAAAGTGGCCATTTAATATCTCGAGAACGGCGCGAGATATCGCGATGAAACCTTCACCGGACGATTCTCTACCGTTTGTCATGCTTATTTATTTGGCCGCGGGCCCGATCGCGCCGACGGTCTTGGCGTGAAACGCGTCCCGAGGTTCGCGCCCCGGCGACGGCACGCATGCGCCTTACGGAGAGCCGACCGACGTTTTTTTCCCCGACTTTTCGTCTAACGACTTCTGGCCGACGAGGGACATTTCGGATGTTACGACACGCGTGTATTTCGATGTTTCGTTAAACTATCGTTCATTAAGTCAATTGCACGTACAAAAGTTTAAAGCCTATTTCTACAATGGACGCCAAACGCAAGACGCTAAGCCGCGACGCAAGAAATCGACCAATCACAGTCAGATACGAGAAAAATGATCGACTGTCATTG